AGGATCCTACTATTTAGGGTTCTATATTCGGGTCCCCCTATTTTCGGAAACTCCCATGTGAACCTTTCGAGACGACGAGTTGCATCACAAGGCTATGCTGGTGACTTCGAGTCCGTTGCCGTCTCAGCCCCAGATGCCTTGGCTCATCTTGGCTTGCCTGCGTTCTGGAGTGCCATGCTTGAATGCTTTTTTGGTGCGTGTTCCTTGTAGGAACCTGTAGAAATAGGAGCTGATACTCTTTTCCTTGGCTACTTCAAAGCCTATAGCACCCTTCTCCTGAGTTGAACAAGTCACTTTGCCAGTACAGAACTAGGTATCGATTTGGGGATAAGATTTGAAACTTCCTTCACAAATTTCAATCAGAGCCCTATTCATGAATCGTTATGGGGACACCCTACCCCCTAAACCCCAAACCCTAAACCCCTAAACCCTCTTGTAATCGACACCCAAAGAAGGAAGGGTCCTTGGTGGCAGCAGCGCTCAGGTGTGGGAGCTTGCCGAGGCCGGAAACCTTCTTGGGCTGCAAGCTTGCATGTTAGCATTATTATACCGGCTCACAGATTTCATCCGAACCATCTTGATCTCTGGGCACATGTGCAGGTTCTGGAGATGTGGGGCGAAATTTGGGAGCTTCAGAATCGAAGGGGCATTGGTCTTTCATGGAGCCATCACTTTGAAAAACCATTATGTCATTGTCGTTGTGTTGCGCACCATGCCAGCTTAGTCTTAGCTGTCTAAGCCTAAGCTCTCACGCTAACCCGTCAGCTCCATGCAACCCAGACTCCATATTCTGAAAGCCGCCAGTGGCTGATTCGCGCCTTACAAGCGCTGACGCCCCAACTCGCAAGCTTTGGCATCCAGGTTGCCCCGTTCCTTTGTCCCCCGAAGCCCTGGACCAAGTCCGAGGCCCGAAGCAACCCTACATTTTCACAATCAACACAGACTAAACTCCACACTCTGCACCAGGCCCGAAATTCCCAAATGCTAGACCCTGTAAGGCCTCAACCCCAAGAAGCAAACTAAATCCCAATACACTTATACTTCCAACTTCAAACTCCAAAGCCCGCGAGCCCTAGTTTTTGAAACCTTCATCCCAAATCCTACAATCCCAAATCTCAGAATCCTAAAGACCTGAGCGTCCCAATCCCGAAATCCTTATCCTCCAGGCCTTGGGAAGCTGGGAGGCCAGTGCCGGCCCTTCCGGCGAGACGGCGCTGGCCTTGCGCTGCGAGTTCGGGGGCCTGGAGGGGAGAAGGGAAGGGTTCAGGGCTGCAAGGGTTGAAAGAGCAAGCAAGGCACCTAGTCTTTAGTGAAGCCAGGAGGGCGGGAAGTGGAGGCGAAGAGGCTTTGGATCAATTTCGAGATTCTCCACTCGTAGACTCGTGCCCTTTGTTTTATGCGGTCTCCTGATAATCATAGCTGAACATAGACCCCGAAATTTAATTAGAAATGGGATTTATATGAGGGGAACATCGGCTTGAACCCCGGCCTTGGACATGTTGAAAAGACACGTTTAGGAGCTCCGAAGTGTCAGCAACAAGCTTCGCTGCTGGGTTTAATGCTGCACTGCGGGTTGCACAGCCGCACAAAGCAACAGGGCCATGAAGCGGGAGAAGAGGACAGTCGAGCCACCTCCTTTGTGATAGTTGGGTAACATTTTACATGTTTATGGGTACTTAAACCCAATCAGGAATAAACGTATACATGTTTAATCCTATCCCAACGAGGCATGTTATGCCCAAACAAAAACCCTCGAGGCATTGGAGTTGGAAATGCAGCCACCCCGCTGCGCCCATGGTCCTCCGCCCTTCCGAGGACGGCAGGAGCGATCCGAAGTTGCACAGTTCTCGCGCGCTCTCCGATTTGGTGAGTGCTTCGGGTCTCATATGGGAGTTTCCGAAAAAAGGGGACCCTGATAGAGTACCCTATAACTGGTAGGATCCTTATCATAAGGACCCCTAAATAAGGTATCCCTAATTTTCGGAAGCTCCCATAAAGCATTCAGTTTACGTGTTTTTGTTCGGGGTCGCGAGGGCTTTGAGGTTGTCAGAATCGATCCAATCCAGGAGCGGCATCTGCGTTGCAATCCTTCAGCCTGCAACCCTGGGCAGGACTTTCAGGTCACAAAGGCTGCAAACCCGAAGCCCCCTAACTAAAACCTTGGCTAATTACAATGCACTGCTTGAACCCCTCTATCCTCCGCTGCAACCATAGATGGGAGTTTCCGAACATAGGGACCCCAATATAGTACCTTAAATAGCAGGATCCTCGTTGTAAGGACCCCAAAATAATGTAGGGGTACCTTACCTTGGGGTCCCTTGTATTAAGGATGCTCCTATTCTGGGTACTAGATAAGGGTCCCCCATTTTCGGAAAATAATGTAGGGTACCTTACCTTGGGGTCCTTATATTAAGGATCCTACTATTCTGGGCTACTAGATAAGGGTCCCCGGTTTTTCGGAAACTTCCAAAGCTCCGCAGAGGAGGGAGCTGGATGATGTCGTTGAGGCCGGCCAGCTGCAACTTTGCTACGCCCTTCGTCGCGATGGTGCTGGAACCAGGCAGGTAGGGGTTTAGGGGTTGAGGGGTTTAGGGGGTTTAGGGGGTTTAGGGGTTTAGGGGGTTAAGGGCTTTAGGGTTTAGGGGTTTGGGGTTTATAGCGGTTTAGGGTTTAGGGGTTTAGGGGTTTAGGATTTAGGGGTTTAGGGGTTAGGGTTTAGGGGTTTCGGGTTGAGGGTGAATTCACCCGGGGTCCCCGAAGTCGTTGGGACCCGAGGGTTCTCAACAGATACTGGATCTCAACATGCGTTGAAGCATGTTGAAGTAAATGAGGGTCTCCGTTAGTTACGGGGACATTGCAAGCCTGTCAAAAGCAGCATGATCGTACAACAGTCGAACCAGCAGTCAATCCTCAAGCCCGTGGGCTACATCTATAAAGCCAGCCAGTCAGCACTTAGCTGTTTTGGGTTTTGTGGTTTCAGGCTTGTGGCTGGCCGCCTAGCCACCGCACCGAAAGCCCTAAACCTCACAGCCGAAAGCACAGAGAATCCTGACCTAAACCCCTGAGACCCGATCGTCCTAGAGCCCCCCAAAATTCCCCAACCCCTAAACTAAAATTCCTTTAATCCGGATTCCTAAACCCTAAACCCTAAATTTATCCCTAAACTTCTTCTAACCCTTGTTTATCCCGGAAACAGACGATACGCCCGGGTTCAGCCCCCCCAAAACCCAGAGACTCCAATATACCTTAATGATGAAGGAATATACCTTCAATCATATAAGGGATCCTACTATATTTTCAAGTATATTCCGAAAGCGCCAGGCGCCTAGAGCTGCAAACCTCCGGCCACCCAAGCCGGCGACCGAGCCGACGGGCAGCGCGAGTGAAGTTTAGGGTAGGTTTTAGGTATCAGGGTTTGGGCTTTAGGGTTTAGGGTTTGGGGTTTAGGTTTGGGCTCTAGGGTTTAGGGCTTCAGGTTTTAGGTTGGGCCCAGGATTTAGGGTTTTTAGGGTTCCGTTTCAGTTGTGGCAGGGCCACCACCGCTGCAAACAGCACCAGCCTGAAGCGCCACAGCCACGTCTACTTAAAGGCTCATGGGACTTAGTAAGTAAGGTCATAAGTAGGTTATAATTCGGATAACCCCACTTAGGGGACTTATAACCCCCGACCACCACCACCGCCACCACCATCGCCACCAGCGCTACTCTACTGCTGCTACTACTGCTACTACGGCTACTACTGCTACTGCTGCTGCTGCTGCTGCTGCTGCTACTGCTATTGCGCCTGCTGCTGCTACTGTGACGACATGCGACGACGACTACCACTACAACAGCGAGGACGGTGATGACGACCAGTAGTACTGCTGCTGGAGACCCTGCAAGTACCGAGGTTGGGGCTTACAGTAGTAACTGGTTATTTTAGGGAATTATAAGCACCATAACCCCAATTAGGGTCCCTTTTAGGGTACTTATAAGTCTACTTAGTAACTACTTACTAAGTCCCCCGACCCCCCAAGTACCGAGGTTGGGACTTACAGCAGCGCCATCAGCGCTTGAGGAGTCTCCAGGCTCGTGGATATGCTGTTGGGGTTAAGCTTAACGCTTTAGGCGCACCCTAAAACCCTAAAGCCCTAAACCCTAGAACTCCAAACTCCTAAATCCCTAAACCCCTAAACCCCTAGAACCCTAAACCCCTAAACCTTAAAACCCTAAACCCTAGAACCCCAAACCCCTAAATCCCTAAACCCCTAAACCCTAAAACCCTAAAGCCCTAAACCCTAGAACCCCAACCCCCTACCCTAAACCCCTATAAACCCTGAAACCCTAAAACCCCTAAACCCCTAAACCCTAAAGCCCTTAACAAAACCCTAGAGCCTCGGGGTTTAGCTCCAGGGCTGAACCAGATCCGCAGAGCTTCACCCATGGGCCCCAAAGTAGTTCTTTTATTTGGGATTACCTTCTAGGACTTATCGGATTCTGTTTGGGATTTCCTTTCGGGGTTCTAAATTCTAAATATGAGCCCCCAAAAAGGAACTACTGTGGGGCCTGAGTGCAGAGTTGAGGTTCGAGAAAGCTCCTCGCAGCCCAGTCGTTGCGTTGCCGCCGCCGTTGTTGGTATGCCGTTCCGGCTGTTGTGACTGCTTTAGTAATCTAGCTTTATCATATCTGCCAGCACTGTCATGATTCCTTGAAAGCACCTGGGATTGGATTGTGGCGATAATCACAATCCGTGCTGGTCTGCTGAAACCAAGCAGTCGCAGCATCCTCCGGAGTTTGCAACCATGATGCACGTTCGCTGCAGGTGGGCAATTTGGGAGCAAGTGTGGGATTGCGGCTTGGTTGAGGGGTGCGGCAAACTTTACTATAGGGGCCTAAACGATTACCAGTACTATATTCGGGGTTCCTTATTGTAATAATTGTATAATGGGCCCCAAAATTTTCTTCTAAGCATTAATGCCCGTATTTTACCTGCTTCCCACTTCCCACAGCCTTTTGTCTCCCATGCACGAGGCGGCGTTCCAAACACTGGGGTTCGGAAGGCCTTACTGTTCTCCGGTGAGCTTCTTATGGCAGTCATTCAGAGTTTGCCGGTTCTTCCGGGTGAGTTGCTGGGTCTACCCAAACCCTTGTCAGACGGTGGGGTTCAAGCTGGTTGAATAATGTCCTTGAACTAATTACTAAGTCTACTTTCACTTCCTGGGGCTCAGAGGCATTCCAGGTGGAAATCCGAAGTCGTGGCATCAACCACAAGCTTCTTCTGAAGCCCCACTACAGTAGCACAGGCCCTAACCATGTTGGAAGCATCTGCCGGATTTCATTGCCGCCTTTCCACACCTGGAGCATACCCTAAGGCCCTAAAGTAGTTCCTTTTCGGAGTTCATATATAGAATCCTATATGGTAATCCCCAAAAGGAACTACTTTGGGGCCTCTGGGTAGATAGATGTCCTCCAATTTTGCTGCAGATGCTACACGGACGGCTGGCCGGACGCGGCCGTCGTAGGTGCTGCGGGTGTCAAGGGTCAGGCTGCACGGACCTTCTGGTGGCCGTTTGCCAGAGAACCCAATACCCCTTAACTAGGGAATATACCTTAAATAATAGGGGCCTTAACATTATGATTTAAGGTAGACTCCTTAATTTATAAAGGGGTATTGGGATCTCTGGGACCCCGCAAAGTGCACCCCCTCAACTTACTGTCTTTTTGGGGCTCCATAGAGGCCGAAAAGAGAACCATCTTTAGACTTCATGACCCCAAGTAGGTACTATTCGTGTACTTGGAGCCCGAACCCTAAGGCTCTAAGGGCTCATGTTTTAAGGCTTTTGGGCCCAAAGACCATACTATATAAGGCTTTTGGGCTATTTTGAGCCTTAGGGGAAAGTCTGAATCGAAAAAGACCCGGCTCCCTAAAAGCCCCTGCACCTCGGAACCTGGCGTCCGCTTCTTGTTTCGGCTCCAGAAGGGAAAGGCCTCAAAGGGGCCGTCGTCCCTGCACCAGAAGCCGTTTTTCCACAGCATCTGCGGTTAAGAGCTCTGTTAGCCTTACAAGGTTGGGAATTACAGGTTCAGTGCCCGGTGATGTAGGTACTTGCGAGTTGAGAGCATCAGTTCCTAGGAGTCCAGATGCGTTCGTTCCGATGTGCCATTCGGGAGCACAGCCTTAGAAAGTTCAAAATCTGCTGCACACTGGGTGCAGTCATTGCCACAGCCCAAGCAAGCTAAACCCCTCTTAGCCCCAAGCCACCCCACGCCTCTCAACAGCCCCCCGATTTTCTTCTTCTTGTTGTTTCTTGTGTTACTATGACATTAGTGGTATTATTAATCATTGTTCTTCTTCTGGTTGTTATTATCATTAGTGGTATTCTTGGTATTATAAAGATTGCTAGTACGATCCAATTTCCTCCTCCTGTCCTCTTTCTCTCCGCCGCCGCGCCCGCGTGCCGTGGGGACATGCCGGGGAGCCCTGTGTTCAGGTGCATTGAAGACTCTTCATGGGTAGCTCTCTAAATTAGGGGTCCCTTTTTTTGGGCTCCTTAAAGGGACCTACAAGGGTTTTATGTAGGGTTTCTGCAAGGGTACGACCAGTGTAGTTCGCTAAATTAGGGCCCCTTTTTTGAGGAGCCCCACAATAGTGCGGCACCTGCATAAACACGACACTAGCATGGACGCTAACTTAGAGAACTACTCTCATACAGACTGTATAGACTTTCGGGTTGAGGTTTCGAGTTTAGGGTCCAAGCATCGGGGTTTTGTGTTTGAATGTTCAGGCCCATGTCGTTGTTTTTGTTGACCAAGGCTGTTGGTTTTGTTTTATATCTTAAAGGGGTTTGGGATTAGTTTTGAAGGTAGAGGGTTTTGATCCCGTGGCGATCTTGCTGTTGTTCTCTGCATGGTGGCAATGACAACGTCTTCATTGTGAGGACGACGAAAACGATTAAGGATGCCGACACCGATGATGGCGATGTCACGACCGCAAGGATTAGACTGACGACGATGTCAGGCATGATGTTGTGACGTGACGACGGAGATGATGCTGACGATGATGACGACAATCCTGATGCTGGAGCTGGTTCTGTTGATGTTGGTGGTGAGGTGCGGCAATGAATCGGAGGAGGATGATGGTGATGATAATCATGAAGCCGTGGATCAGGATGAGCATGAGGATGGGGAAAGCTATAGCGACGAAAGTGGATGGTGGTGTTGAAGTACATAAACATGAAGTTGCTTGTTAGTAGCAAAATCGAACATGCAGGACCATGTGGGAGGAATAGTAATGATGGCAATAGGGGAGCTGAAAATGATGGTGTTGCTGGGGGTAATGTTGAATATCATTGGTATACGCTTGCATTCGGTCCGATATATATATATATATATATATATAGATGAGGATGATGATGGTTGGTGGCTTGGGTGATGATGACACTTCCGTGTTTGAGCCCTTTAACCCTAAACCCTAAACTCTAAACCCTTAAACCCTAAATCAAGCATGGTTGGGCGCAAGTCCTGCAATGACTCGAGGTCGGAAGGGAGAAACATGCAGCATGTGGCGGGCGCCGCTTTTCGGGCAATTCTGCAGAACATCCAGGCAGCCATTTCTGGGAGTTCAGGGTTAACGGAGTCATATGTTGTGGCATTGATTGTGCTTTAGAGCTCCCAGTTTCATGGCCAAAGTTGCCGGGAAACAGCTCGATTCCGTTGATCCTTGTCACAGTGAATATTGCTGCTCATACGTGCTATATAGAGCTTTGCAATTCTTAGACCTTCTTTAGTCACTGTTTTCCAAATCGCCTCTGATTGCGCGGGCCGAGGTTCCAGGATTTCCCGGGTTTACAGTTTAGGGCTGAGGGTTTTTGGAGTTGAGGGTTTTTTCGGTTTAGAAGTTCCCAGAGACTCCAATATCCCTTATTCAGGAATATACTTTAAAATATAGTAGGATCCCTAGTATGATTCAAGGTATATTCCTGCTTTCGGAGCTCAAGGTTTGTGCAGATTTTCCACTCGTGTGCTTAAAGCATTTACGAGGTCGCCTCTCAAGCTTTAATATTGAATCCGCGTCAATCCGAGGGTCCTATTCGGTTGACAGAACTCTTCATAGTTTTTGCAAATGCTATTAGCTATATAAGCCCAAAAAAACCCGAAACTTAAGCCCTGAACCTCGTCATCTTTTCAATTGCATTGGCCCGGGGGCTCTTCAGCCTGCGCCAGTCCTAAACCAGGCCACCCCCGCGCTTCAGCCGTTCGTGGATCGTCCGCAAGCCCTGCACCCCATGTGGGTGCTTATTACAATACGGCACCTAATAATTAGGGTACCCAAAGTGGGACCATCATTTTGACAACCACCAATGATGTAAGTCCGGACAGTTGAAATAAACAGTTACCCGCCAACCTGACGTGGAACTCGCGAAGCCTTATTGAAAAGAGCCTTACTCCATGAGCCTCGAAAGCAACGACCCCGGACCCTAAAATTAAATCCGAGCTGTGTAAATCCTACATGCTGGAAGCCCGAAGCCCTACGCCCCGATAAGCAATAACGCCTAAACCCTACGAGGCTTACAATCCTAGTTAACTTCAACATGATTCGGTTCAGCCTAGTATGCATGCACAGGCATCCAAGAACAGCCCAATGTATATCCCGCTGAAGGGCGAGGGGACATGGTCATGATCATCACTCAGGTATGTACGATAACCCGAGCGATGTATTTGCAGCCATACCTGAATCCAGGTCCCTAACTTTGTACTAGAGTAGGTCACCATGAAGCTTTTTGGGGTATCTTGATCCCTACATCTCCCAAAGTCTTAAGGTTAACCTTTAGTTCTCCCCTATCATACTGGACCACCAAATCCAAAGTATGCTCTAAACTCTAAGCCGTGAATTGCCAAATCATACCTGCCCAAAGTGGGCTGGAGGACGCATTGAGCCTGCAGACACCAAAACGCCCCCAAAACAAAACAAGTGCCTGATCCATGTCCTGTAAACCGAAGACAATGCTAGGAACCCTAAACCTAAACCCTAAACCGCTAGGCCCTTGAGTTGTCCTTTGCCACCAAAGCAGTGGAATGCTTCAGAAGCGCCGGCGAGGCCCGGAGAACAGTCGGGTTGAGGGTTTCGAAGGGTTAGGGCTTAGGGGGTTGTAGGTTTAGGGTTTGGGGATGGTTTGCAGGGGTTTAGCTGCTTATGATGATGAGCTGAGTAGCACCTCCGGACATCGAATTCTGACTCTGGGGTATCGAGCAACTACTTCATTACACCCGAAGATGACATCGGACAAGACTTCGTGACCGTCCCATGAAGTCCCCGGCCGTCCCGTCTCGGCATCCGAAAAACTGTGTCCGGACATCGGTTTGTATCTTTCGTCGCCCAGGGACTCTTTTCCATGTCCGGGGGTCATATCCCACAGAACACTGCTGCGGAAGCTGGCCAGGAAGGATACATTCGGAATCCGCCCGTAGTGCCTTAGCTGCTTCCAGCTTGCTGTCAAACAGGGCCAGCTCAACTACGACAAGACCATGCAGGCTGCTCCAGGGTGGAAATCTCAGGGTGCAGAGTCTAGCAGGGTGTAGGGCTTAAGGCTTGGAGTGTAGTGTAGGGTCTCTTCGCACCGGTAAGCTCTATAAGCCCTAAACTTCCTGAACTCGTAAGGCTTAAGGTAAGCCCTAAACACCCCAGTGCACTCCCGAAGCCCGCAACCCTGAATGCTAAACTGTGAGCCTTGGGGCCCCGCAAGCCTGAATTGCGCATCGAAAACCCTAAGCCACAACGTTTCACGGTGGACTGGCCTCAAACGCGGGTTTCTTGATATTGAAATCAGGAGTCATGTCTTTGGGGGAATATGCCCTGGTTTCTGGAACTCTCCTGCAAGTTCGGTGATTTCCCCGTGGTGGTAGGCCCTGGCTTCCCAGCCGCAGATCCGAAGCTGAAGCCAACAGCTAGAAACTGACCGAGACGACTGCAGGGACCAGACTTACCTTTGAGTAGGGAATGGAAGAATGGTAGTAATAGCTGCAATTGTACCCCATTCCTCCATTCCCTACTAACCAAAGGTAAGACCAGGGCTTGGAACTTGTGGTTCAGGTCTACTTTTCTCGAAACCCTGTAAGTCTGGGAGTTCGTCTGGTATCCTTCCACGCCGACAGTGCAAAGGGGACCTTGCTAAACAGCGGCGATGATCGTCTTGACGTCACTGTTGATTGTGACGATGATGAAGACCCTGGTGATGGCGATGACGGTTGATGGCCGTGATGGTACTGATCGCGTGTACAAGAAACTTAGCAGCCCCCTACCCTCACTGAAACAAAATCCAGAGCACAGTGTCTTGTTCGGGATTTGGTGGGGACAGTGGGACAGACACAGGTCGAAACATCCTGACACGTTTTGTTATCACAACGATGCTTATGGGGTTAGCTTCCCGCAGTGGGCTTCGCCCCCGTCTGTAAACTGTCACATTTTCTTCGGCAAGCTCACAGTGTCACTGCGTGTATCCGGCAAAGACCCGTGCTAAACTATCGGAAAGCTTCAGCCCATGGCAAGTTGCCTGGGAATCCCAAGCGCGAACTCTGAGCCCTCACCCGCTCTAAACCCTAAAGCCTCAACCGCCCTAAATCCTAAAGCCTCAACCCTGTGCATCCTGAACTCAACCCTAAACCCTAAACCCTAAAGCATCGAGGGAGCCGGAATTCTGCAAGTGCCCCAGGCCTCATGTCGGCGGTGGCGAATAGTAGAGCATTCGCTCGCTGGCGCTGTGCTGTACGGTACTGTAGTGGTGACCTAAATCGAGTAGGTTCAGGTGGTCAGACAGAGGCGGGCCATTTTGAGTGGGGACCAGTCCATGTGTCGGTTATGCTAGTAATGGGTAGCATTGAGTGGTAGGTGGTGAATCCCCGGACAGGTCCCTAATCACCCCTCAGCCGAAGCGGCATTCCAACTAACCGAACGGGCGGGAGGAAAAGAGGGCTCAACAAAAAAAAAAAAAAAAAAGCCCTAAACCCCAAACTCCAAATCCTGAACTCAACCCTAAACCCTAAACCCCAAACCCCAAACGAACTCAAACCCGGTTTCCACGCAGGCGCTCGGCACCCTGGAGCTCACGGACTTCTTGGGAGAAATGAGAGAGGCCCAAGGCCGACACCGTGTAGCTTTTGCTCATGGACGCACACAGCGCAGTGCCTGCTACATAATATATATATATATATATATATATATATAGACACATAGTGGATTATAAATAAATAAATAAATATATATATATATATATATGTACACGTATATGTATATGTGTTTGTGTGTGTAAATCCAAATCCTACCCCGGTCTTTGTCCGAGACATGCCCCTCGTTTTGAGAGGAACAGCAGCACGAGAAGCGAACACAGGCTGGGACTCTGGGTGCTTGAGTTTCATCATTGCCACCACTTCTTATTGTTACTGAGATCCCCAATGCCCAACCTTTAAACTTTTTGGGTTCTTATAGTTTAATAGGAAACGCAAAGTTTAACCTTTTATTTCTGTGGCTTATTGGGGTAGTAAGGTTACAGTCATCATCATCATCGTCGTCATCATCATTATCATCGTGACCGTGAGCATCGCCATGGTTATGAGCATGGCAAGCCCGACTGCCACTGCGGACGTGTTTTGTGATCGTTCAAGTCCACCGCCGTCATGGTAGTCAGGATGGTGATTTTGATGATGATGATGATGGTGATGGTGTTGCTGATCTGATCTTGAGTGTTATCAACCTAGACATCTTCAGCATCGCTATCATCGGATCATCATCATCATCATCAACTTTTTTCCGGCGCTCCGCCGTTGTCCGCTCGCAGGTGTCCTGCTGGGCTCGGGTTCTGAGTACCGGCGGCTCTGGACGCAGCAGAGCTGCAAATTGGGGCCCAAGCCGAAACCAAGATTCGAGATGCTGAAGTCCGAAAGCCCTGAACCCCAAATCCCGAAGTCGAGAGTTGAGAGCACGAGTAGCTGCGTGATTTGGTATGCACTTCGCGGTGTGTACTTATCAGACTTATCATCATTAGAGTTGTAATTGGTGTTCTTGCTGTGACGGCGGCTTCGTGAGTATTCCGAATATGACTTAAGCAGCGTTGTGAGTTGATTTTGTGACGTGTGTCGCGGTTTTTGTAGCCACCATTGTCCTGTCGCGGACATGTGACCGTTCGCTGCAAAACCCAGAGCAGCAGCATTGATGATCGACGGAGTTGCAGTAGGGGGCCACGTGCAATGTCCTCACCTGCAGTCTTGACTCTGTGTACACCGTGTGTACGAACCCGTGCACGGTTCGATCGGGGATTTGTCCCTCTCGACATACATGATCACGACGATCTGGCTGCATGTAAGCGTGGCCATGTCATCTTCAGTTTCGGAATACCACAACAGCAGTGTACTATGATGTTTGTAATACGGGCACCAGGTTCAGTACCTGGCAATGTCCCACAGCGGCTGCTCGCGCAGTCACAGGGAACTTCCTAGCTGCCAAACCCATGTCACCCGGAGCCTAATATAGGGCCCGAAATAATTACCAACACCAGTTTGGGGGGTTCCTTCTTATAATCATAGTATAATGGGCCCCAAAACCCTATTCTAACTATTCATGCCCCTATCTTAAATCTTATATCCAGCCCTGTGGCCATAGTCCCTACGTGCCACCGAAGCCCGAAGCAAACTCTCCGAGGCTCTGGAGCGAGAACCAGTCTGCGAATGAACAGCTCATGCCCCAGCTGTCGATTGGGGGCGTTGCCTCATCTGCAACTCTGCAAAGAGGCCTTTCTGTAACGTAGGGGCTTTAATAATTGCCTATGCCATTTTTTTTTGGGAGGGGGGTTCCTGATTATAAGGGGCGCTCCAAAACCCTACTCAAATTATTAAACAAGCGCCTGTCAAAGCAGACTTGCCTGGAGTTTCAAGCCGTGGACCCATGCTTTTCGAGATGCGCTTTCCGGTTCTAGGATGCCCAGTAGTACCCTTATTCCCTTTTTGTAGTCCTAGGTTCCTTATAAAGGTACCCAATACCAAAAAGAGAGGCCTTTTTATTCTTAGGTTACTGGGTATCCTGGTTCCGGTTACTTCTTACGACTTGCGCACCGACAAGACAAGACTTGCCCCAGCCTCTGAGCTGTTGAGTTTTTCCGCATAGCAAAGGGGAAAAGGAGGGACTCTTAATGGGGACCCCCTACCCTATAATGGGCTATATAATATGGGTATATACTGGCTATATTAAGGGTATATTCCTAGGGGTCCTTATTAAGGGTCCCTCCTTTTACCCTTAGAGCATAGCATGGAGCTTGAAAAAGACAGGGAGTTCACCACCGGATGTCCTTTCAAGTGTTAGGCCCCACGAATTGTCTGTGCTGGCAAAACAATTTCCGTTTTACGTACATATAGACATACGTAAACCAAACCCTTGAACACCGCACACGAAACTCTGCATAAATGCCTCCCTTCCAAGGATGGTTTTGAGAAAGTTTGCCACTTGTCGTAGTGCCGCCATGCCACACTTAGCACCCCCCGGATTTCAGATTGAGCATTTCCCCTACACCATACACCCGCAAAAAAAGCGTAGCCCCAAACCCTAAACCCTGAACCCCTAAACCCTACAGGCCAGGCCCTTTAAAGCGTCAAAAGAGTTTTGTTGGATCTTCGTCACTTCGGCGTTAGATTCCGGGGGGCCAGGCATCCCTCACAGCCTCGCCAGAAATCCTAAACCCACAATCGGCGTTTTCCGAAAATTCGTGATACCTTAGGGTTCGGGTACTATAGTAAAGGTTTAGAGTTTCCGAATATTAGGGGTACCGTATTTTGGGGTCCTTATAGTAAGTTTCCTCTATTTGTGGTACTTTGTGAGGATCCCCTGTTTTTGGAAACCTTCAAACCGGAGTCTTAACCCCTATAATCTTGGAGAAGGGCCCTCAAAAAGATACTGCCCTTGTAATCCTACAAATCCTAGGAAACGCATGTGTGCAAAAGACTTCGCCAAGGTGCTTTCTTTTCATCGCCTGGCGGGCACATCGCTTTAGTGAGCCTTCCTTCGTCAAGGCGGGTTGGGTGGACCTGGAATCCTATGACGGGTCCTATAAAGGTTGCCATCAGGATTCCACGTGAGTCTTAGGGGTTACGTACTACAAGCGTGTGCGGGCCTAGGGCGACGTGTTACTTTCCATGCACAAAAGGGGCTTCAAAACCTGGGCAGCGCGATTTCGATACAAAACGGGGTTGTTGCACACTGCGGAAACTATTACCATTGTGTACGTTCTGGCAATGTTTGTAGTGCTCATCACCTTCATCATCATCGGCGTCATCGTCACCATCACCATGATCACAAAAAAATCATTGTCATCGTCATCATCACCATCACCATCATAATCATCATCACCATTGCCATCATCATCATCATCATCATCCTCAACACCACACTCTCCCCCTCCTTACATCCTTCCTTATCCTCCTCATCTTCCCCATCATCGTCAGCATCATCTCCACCACCATCATCACCATATCCCCTCACTGCCACATTAGGTCTCGCAGCGAGGCAAAAACATCTTGCTCATGCAAGGCATGAGCGCTTCTGCCAGTGTGTCTTGTTCCTTCTGAAGTATGTTGCATATCATGGCGAAACGCTGCAAAAACAAGGTGTTGGGCGTGCTCACCCAAGGCATGTGAGGGGCCGAAGCCCATCATCCAGAAAATGCAATCTCCAGGGATCGGGCAAAGTTGTGGGTTTGGGTTTCGTGTCTAACCCTATCTAGCCGTTTATCAGGGGGTGGATGGAGCCAGGAGATTGCTATGCCCCTCTTCCAAATCTTGGACCACAACAGCGATCAGCTGATAACCGCTGAGGTGCAGCGGTTCGGTGCAGGGTTCGGCGAGGGCACGGGCTTGAGCAGTGAACTGTTTCAAAGAGATGGTGATGTGGGTCAGCGGTTAGGGTTGCGGGTGTAGGACCTGAGAGCAAATAGCCGACAAGAAGAAGCATTGGAACTCATCTGTTTGTGGATCCTGGTTGTGATGATTGGGCAGCCACTTTATTCAGACATGATATCCCCGTGGCTCTCTGCGTCTTCAGCCCCAACATTTCTTAGATTTGCAGTGTGGCTTTTCAGCCCTCGAAAGTTCATCTTCTCAGAGAGGCATAATGAACTGCATAAGCCAAGCATCTCGCTCGAGTGCCGCAGCTATGACAGTAAGCTTGCGCTCGCTTTTGAAACAAGCAAGTGTCATTCGCAGTGTTATGTTTCTTTTTGCAAGTCACTCGCGCCCTTCATGGAAGTAGCAGGAGCAAGTATCCATAAATGAAGAGACAACCCAAAGCCCCATCATTATCAGGCCAGCCTTGGTTGAGATGAGCCACAGTAACACTAACACTAACACTAACACAAACACACCCTAATACCTTTTGAAATTTCAACTGTCTTCGTTCAACTCAACCCAATCTCGACACCCCTAGATCCCCTGAACCGAAAGCCTCAGCCCACCTGCCCGCTTTTCGTCCACAGCAGCGTGACAACTCGAAAATGCAAGGAGCTGGAGGAAGCCATCATGTCGGAGGAGGGGGGTCAGGGTTCAGGGTTTCTTAGTTGGGCTTTCTTTCAACGGAGGGTCCATTATAAATTATAAACATCAGTTACACTGCTGCCCCAAACTTGAACAGCCTGTCATGATCCGCACCACCGCCCCAGCACAAGAGCGCAAATGCCTAAAGCACGTCCGAGAATAGAGAATTCTTAGCATGTCGTGCGAAATCGTTACCGCTGCAAACCATGGCAACCCGTTTAGCAGTGAACTTCATAGCCCAGTCATGGCAGTCCTGCTGGCACCAGACTGTCCGACTGTTCCCACCCATTGGGGCAAGCAAGCAAACAGCGCGAGTATGAACATTGCTGACAAGATTGCGGTTAAGAAGCACAATGCATAGAAATAAGAACAGTACGTGTACTCAGTGTACTTGGCCATCAGTGTACGAAGAGCATCAAGAGAATGAGAACACGAGTTCTGCATAGGCCCCAAAGTAGTCTCTTTTTGGGATTACCTTATATAGGATTCTAAATATGAGGCCCCAAAAAGGAACTACTTTGGGGCCTTAGGGTATACATTGGAAGCAGTATGCGCCTCCACAGCATGAAATGCGCGATCCATGCCTACAGCTGCCACGAGGATCCGCAGAAACAGCTGACGGAAGAGGCCCGGTACGGTAATATCGGGGCTTAAATAATTACTAATACTATTTTGGGACATTTGTAGTACAATGGGCTACAAAAGCCCTTTTTGTCCAATTTTGTTCAGGCCCTTTTGTACTGTGTTCGTGAAGCGACAGCCCCATAGCCTTGAACTTTCCGGGGAAGATTTGTTCGGTCTCGTCACTCTGCAACCCTAAACCCTAAACCCTAAACCTTAACTGTACGTCTAGGTAGGGCTTTGGGACATTTTACATTTTCCCTTATTGGGCTTAAGAGGATCTTATTTACTAATATTTTTCAAAAGCTTTGAAAGCCCCACCTAGACGTGTGTTAGAGTGATTTAGAGATTTAGAGTGTATATTCTAGCAGATTATGGTACATGATCGGAAACTACATCATATTAGAAGTGTACTATAGTAAATATTATCGTACATGAAAGAGCACAAACCATATACAATGTTTTTTGGTATATTATGATAGTACATTCTAGAATATGATGATATCACACATTATAGCGTATCATAATGGGTTATAGAACGTGGCAGAATATCGTACCTTGGGTACTGCCCCCACTCAGTAACAGTTGGATAATCTTTACAATATAGATATATCAGGCCCTCAATAGTAGCCTTATTATAGGCTGTTACTGTATGGGGGCAGTACCCAAATCATACCATAATGTCGTAATCGTGCTTCTTGCCTCTTCCAGGCCCGGGCCGATGCGAAGAAGCTGAGGTCGGAGCTCAAAGAGCTTTTGCTGCGCCTTGGATCCCAAAGCAACGGTGGTGTAGGCTTTGGGGGGTAGGGTTTAGGGTGGTAGGATTTGGGGTACAGGGTTTGGTACAGGGTTTAAGTCAAGGTTTAGGGCTGAGGGTGTTTAGTTTGGATTCCAAAGCAACGGTGCCAACATCTCGAAATCCACAGCCCTACAGGCAATGCAGCTAGGGATATGTCAGCTTCGTTTTGTCGAATTCCTTTCCCCAGCATGAGCCTGCCTGAGGCCAGGCCGCCGGTAGCCACGGCAGGAGTAGTCAGTAGTCAATCCGAGCAGTTGCGAGCACAGCCAGTCGATTTACAGTTGTCCAGAGTGTTGGCTTCGGGTGCCGGCGAAAAACAGATTGGAAAGAGGCTAGACCTTAGACCCATCCTTGGCCCCATGAATCCTCCCCTAATCAAGTCTCAGAGCTTCAGGTATCATTGCGATGCCGCCAGGGCCCCAGCTTTGAGGCTTCCGAGATGTTCGTGACAGCAGCAGTCTCAGCCCCACTCGAACCAAAGTGCAGCCCCAGCCCTAAACGAGATTCTTCTTCGGTTCACGTTTGGTTCCGCCCTTGGTAGCCGGGATCTGCTGCCATGGGAAATTTGTCTCCGTGCTGTGGCCTCCTGGAGGCAATGCCGAGCATGGATATGCATTGGCCATAAAGGACAGAGCCACCATGGATGCCATCGCAATCCGGGACAGCATCCTTGGTTTACGTCACGTAAACCACCGACGTTGTCCTGCATTGCGATGGTGTCCTCTATGGTTGCTCGGTCATTTATGGCCAATGCATATCCATGTTTGGCATTGCCAACACTACCGTACGCTGGCAAGCCGCTTTTCTCTGATTCCACTGGATTGCGACTGTGCATGCGTGTCTGGGCCAGGTTCAGAAAACCACCAATCAGGCAATAAGGCTTCAGTAGGGAGCAGGCCGCGATTGGTGCCTTCCACACAGTAGAAGAGCTCATGTACGAAGAATCGGCACGCTTGGCCAGCATATTACCTGTAGAAACATCATCAGGAACCGTCACATGCATGGCACAGTTTGGGAGACTGCGTCACCAACCATTCCCCGGAAAAAAGCGAGCTGGAGAAGAAGAGGCTGACAGACCGGAGTCAGCATTGCATGCGGATAACATGTTGATGGCGAAGTGCAGGCATTCCATGCCGTCGGTAGCCTGACGGACAAGACGAGACGACAGATCCATGGGCTCACGTGCACCCTGGAGGCCATCATGGAAGTGAATGAGAACACGGAGTTCCTCATCCAGACCACAGATGGGTTTTTGAACGGGACGCAGGATCTCGATGATGGTGAGCTCCATTGTGCACATGCGGCCGTGGATCTTCCGGAATGTGCTTCGCCAGAAGCAGCAGGAAAGCTGTCGTCGAAGCAGCCGGCAAGGTCACCAAGGCAGACAATGCCGCGGTGATTGTGTTAGCCCTCAGCGCTAACACAATCACAGCGGCATTGTCTGCCTTGGGGACCTTGCCGGCTTCTTCGACGACTGCTTTCGCTGCTGTCCCAGAGCCGTCCCCTCAAAGGGGACGCGGCCCAAAGCCGCTTCCGGCGGAGCTCCAAGACAGAGTGAAGCTACGGTTTCTTTCTGTAAAGTGCATGTCGTAGATGCCTCGCAGACGTCGCTCGGTTACTTTTTTAGCAATTTGAAAAACAGAGCTGCTTCCTCCTCCATGTATGAGCCTCCCCGGACGTGTGTTTCCGTCACAAGCCCAGAAGCTCCTCAACCCCAACCCCTATGCCTCAATGAAGGTTTCCACATGGGGTTCAGCGCTTCAGATTATGGGGCTTATAGGGTTTAGGACTGTAGCTGGCCGAATTGCAGGTCAGCCCAGACGGCTTGGTAGGTGCGCGGATATCGGGCTCCTTTTGAGGTCGATTCTCAGAATCAGCAATATTATATACACTTCTATATTCTGTAGTATATCCACTATGATATAGCCGCAACCCTATTCTAAGTGCCGAGGCTGCTATGTCATGTGGCCTATAGCAGGGATGAAGGTATTGCAAGCTCCAATCCTAAACCGTAACACCCAAAACGATCGCAACAACCTCACAACGAAATGCTTCACCACGGCCCTAAGCCACGAAACCCTATCCCATGACTTCGGGTTTCCGAGGCAGCGCCCAACGGAAGCAAAGGGGTCGACTTCCCCGCATTTTTGGCCAAGGGCTCAGGAAAGTCAGCTGGAACAAGGTAACCTCTTTAACTAAGGTTGGCAGGTTGAAGGTTCAGGCATTAATCCCATTGGCGCAACGGACCAAAATTCGTGGAATGTTCGGGATTCCGAGTAAGTACAGGGAGCGATAGGGAGCGTAGCTGCCTGAGAAGCCATGTAAGAAGGTGACAGCGCATTACGAGCCCTAAACCCTAAACCCTTAACCCTAAACCGTGGCCCCTCCATCCATTCAGGCTTTCATCTGCGATGCGCAGGACAAGTGTGCCATGCGCCGCTACACGTCAAAAGGCCGGGAGTACGTTTATTTCGGGCCTGCGACCTATAGGGTACCGTGAACTTTACTCGTGTAGGGGCTGAGGATGCTGGGGCAGGGATATTAGGGCCTGCTTCGGGCTCCAGGGCTAGGACTGTTAAGAGTTCGTGCTCGCTGTGTTGGGTGTAACTATGAAGTGTGCAGCTGCAGCAGCACCATACTTGGAGTTCGATGTTATACAGTTTGCGTGAAGATCATGTACTGGGTACATCAGCCTACCGCCTCGTAGATATTGATCGAGCGGTCCGACGGAGAAATGCTGCATCCTGAATGTGACAGCATGTCCTTTGCAGTTGCACATTGGAAGAGGCCTCTCTGTTCGGCTGCCACCGCCTGTGGACACCCTTCACATGGTGGCTTTTCTGCGGTGCACGTTCGGCTCAACCCATTGTAGCCTAGCAGAAAAGTCGCCATCGGAAAATTGTGTGAGTGTAGTGGAATCAGAGACAAGGGACCGACGGGCCTGCCACAGTACGGTAGTGGTGCCAATGCCGAGCATGGATAGGGGATGGCAATAAAATGACAGGGCCACGATGGAAGACGCCATCGCCATCCAAGTATATAATGTCGCTGGGTACACGTGCCTTGCCGTCTTCGATGGGCATTTTGGTGACACAGCAGCCAGACTGGCGCAGTCGTACGTGGCAAAGCAGCTGGACCAGCATTTTCAGCTGACCACCGACAAAGAGAAGGCCGTGATTGATGCCTTCCACGCAGTGGAAGAGCTCATGCAAGCAGAATTGGCCGGCGAGGGCTGTATGTTGCCTTCCGGAACATCGTCAGGAGCCGTCGCATGGCTTCTCTTTTCAAAGACAAGGATAACCTCCTTGTCTTTGAAAAGAGAAGCCATGCGACGGCTCCTGTTTGGGAGACTGCCGTGCGGTGGTCTGTGAGTCCTCGATAGTGGCCACCTAAACTAAGGACCATTCGCCAGAAAAGAACGAACAAGAAAAGCAGAGGCTAAAACTTAGCCTCTGCTTTTCTTGTTCGTTCTTTTCAGCTAAAAGAGACCGGAGTGAGCATTCGAGTCTCCATGCTCACTCCGGTCTCTTTTAATACGTGGACGGCAAGGTGCAGGTCTCCCGGGCCTTCGGTGACATAACGGCTAAGACGGGACACAAGATCCATGGCGTTACGTGCACGCCGGAGGTCACAATCGTCGAAGTGAAGGAGACGACGGAGTTCCTTGTTGGCCACAGATGGGATCTGGGATGGAATCCTAGATCAGACGGCGATCACCACGGCCAGGAAGGTTCTTCGTGAGACACAGTCTCCAGAAGCCGCAGCGAAAGCAGTGGTTGAGGCCGCCGGCAAGGTGACCAAGGCAGACAACGCCGCTGTGATCGTGTTAGCCCTCAACGTCCCAGAGCCGATTCCGGCGAAGCTCCAAGATGGAGTGAAGGCTATCGATTCATGTTGCAAGTGCATGTGCTAGATGCCTCGCCGGTCCATTCCGGCTGTTCCAGGAGGCGTCGCTCGGTTACATTTGAAGCAATTTGAAGAAAAGAGGTGCTTCCTCCATGTATGATCCTCCACGGACTCGGATGCGGGTTTGGTTTTTGCAGTCTTTATGCCACATGGTCTTGCTTCGTGGGCGGCTACAAACCTAGGAGACTCAAACTGCAATCAATGAGCTGCTCGGCCTCTTTCCGTAAACATTCGCCGTAATAGTGAACGCGAATCGAGTCCTTCTGCTTTGGCATTGCCGTGAGGGTTGTCCCAAGCCATTCCTGTGGATGTGCAGTGATATCTCTGAAGAGGGTGGCTTCTGCTCCTGAAATGCAACAGACCTCCTTCATCGAGCCTTTCTGCAGGCCCCGTGGAGTGTATGGCCCGCTACCACAAGGGCGTTGTGTTCCTGCGCCCTGTGTGGCACCGGCGAAGTTTGCGAGTTCTTTGGGACGAATTGACCAAAGAGCACTATTTCGGTGGCTTGACGGCTGAGTGAGTTTCGGGGGCTTAGGGTTTGCAGGCTGTAGGGCTTGAGTCTGTCAGGGAGTGCGCGTTGTCGGTTCTTCCCTGTTGACCGGTGGTCTATTCTTGTTTGCTTTTTCCTAGTGGCTAGTCGAGGAACGCTACTGCAGATGCACCCTACCGCCGCAAAGGTTTGTAGATCTGTTCAAAGATGCAATGAGGATGCCTGGTCTTCAACCATGTCTTCACGATTGACCGCAGAAGATAACATGAAGCGAAGCGAAGTTAAAGTGGAGCAATGCATCGCAGTGTTACTCACGCATTTGTAAGTGCAGAGTTGGTTTGTCACGCAATGCAGGGCATGCCCTGCAACGCAATGGCCGTTACTGAAACTAACCGCGATGTAGTTAAACTTAATTACCGCATCTGGAGACTGTATTCGCCTTTCTGCTGGTGTAAGTGGCGATGCCGACGCCATGTTTATGGACAGGCTCATGCTGACGGTCATGCTATGCAAGGCAGTGTCACGCACTGTCATTGGCCATATGAGGGTCCGACTCCAAACGTGTCTGGTAAAGCCTCAGCCGCCAGGAATGTGGCCGAGTGTGCCCAACCCCAGGAGCAAGAGGCTCTTGGGCGGTTTTTGTGGGCTTGGTGTCGAGATGTTTCGACTCGTCTCGCCCAATCCCAAAAAGCCCCGGCCGCCCCCAAAGTCACATGTTTTTTGCCAGCCCGACTTGGTTGGTGGCTGCAAGACTCAGGCTCTCTTTATTCTAAAGCCCCAAAGGCACAAACCCTAAGTTTACAGGCCTGAATGATTTGGAGCAGTCTCCCCTTACAGTGCGTGCACCCATGCCCTAGCCTCTTTCCCCCTCTTTCATGAAGGCTTCAACGTCAAGACCCAGAGCTCTGAGCTCCGGGTTCAGGCTCCTAAACCCTGAGGCCCTGAACCCCAAGCCCCAGAAACCCTGAAACCTCGAGCCCCCTACCCTGAACCTTAAGCTTGAGCCCTGAACCCAAAACCCTCAAGAGCTAAACCCTAAAGTTCTTATATAGAGCCCTTCTAGCTCCCTTCGGGGCACCTTTAAGTGAGCTGTAAAGGGACCCTAAACCCTCAGCCCTTAAGGAACTCTAAAGGAACCCTAAACCCCAAAACTGGGGCTGCCGACCGCAGAAGGAGCTGGAGGAGCTTATGACCTCACCCGCTGTGGAGGCACTGCGGGAGGCCCTCCGAAGGTTTTTTTTGTTATATATAGGGTTCCTTTAAAGGGATCTATAACGGTTCCAGGGTTCCATAAAGGGTTTAGGGTTATGGGAGTTTCCGAAAATAGGCGGACCTTATTTTGGGGTCCTTATAGTAAGGATCCGACTATTTAGGGTCCTATATTCGGGTCCCCTATTTTCGGAAACTCCCATATGGCTGCTGCTACCATAAGGGCCTAAATAGAGTAGGGTTCCTTTAAAGGGCTCCTTTAGGGGATACGATAAGGGCAATTATAAGGATTTGGCTGCTATGAGGGTACTGTATGGGTTTAGGGCTTCGGGGCTACTACTATAGAAGCTTTAAGTAATTATGTGGCGGTTCCTTATTATAAGTATAGTACCATGGGCCCCCATATCCTAAACCCTATTCTAATTTCTAATTATTAAGGCCCTATTTTATGAGGGTCTGTAAGGGATTGCTTCCGAGGGGTGTTTCAAGGCCTTGTTGGGTTTGTGGTTTAGTAGAGGTTTTCGGCTTTTGTGTGCAGGGGCTTGTTCTTTTGGGTTCGCAACTCTTTGCATCGCTAGCCAATGGGAGAACTTTAAACGTTTTGGCCTTATATAACATACAGTGTTTGTTCCATCCTAGAAAGTTTGAAACCCTAAACCCTGAACCCTTTTACTTATTGGCTGTAAACTAATCTTTTCAACTTTTGGGGTTCTTATAAGGTAGTCGATTCTGAAAGTTTCAACTTTGATTCCTTTGGGTTTTGGGCCAGTGAGTTGAAGGGCCCGGTTATTGAAGAGGAGAGTTTGTCGAGGGCTTCAGGACGACCTCGGCGTGGAGTTTGAGGTCTTGGGTCGCTTGAGGGGCTTCAGCGCTTTGGTCTGCTTAAAGGCTCATGGGACTTCGTAGGTAGTAAGTAGGGTTAAAATTTAGGTAACTATACTTATTAGTTATTAGTACTTATGGCCCCAATTAAGGTACTCATAACCTTACTTACTAAGTCCCATGATCCTGCAAGCAAGGGTTCAGCATTTAGGGATAAACACTTTGGTTATTGGTTAGTATGGAATTAGCTGTTATTAGTTATCATTAGTTCTTACTAGGTGTCATTAGTTGTTATCAGTTCTTATTCGTTATTCTTAGTTATCACTAGTGATTATTGGCTAAGTACGATTAGTTCTTATTAGATATTACTAGTTCTTATTAGTCACTATTATTTTCTAGTCAGTGTTAGTCATTTTTAGTCGGCTTTTATTGGCAAGGGGCGGGGATTGCCGAGGGCTTGATCGGTCCTGTTAGGTTTTTTTTTATTTTTGGTGGAGTTTCTAAGTGGCATTTACAGGAGTGGGGTGGGGTGGCGTGGGGTGGGGTGGGGTGATGGGTGGGTGGGAGCTGTATACGTAGGGTTTGTCGATGGGCTTATTGTAGGTACGCTCGCGATGCTCCACTACACATTGTGCAAGCTCCTGCATACAAACCCGTGTGGCGTTTGCTGTTTTAGTGGATTGGGGCTGTTTGAAACCCTAAACCCTAATCCCTAAACCCTAAACCCTAATCCCTGGACCTTAAACCCTAATCCCTAAACCCTAAACCCTAATCCCTAGACCTTAAACCCTAATCCCTAAACCCTAAACCCTAATCCCTAGACCTTAAACCCTAATCCCTAAACCCTAATCCCTAGACCTTAAACCCTAATCCCTAAACCCTAAACCCCTAAATTCGAGTTCCCAATCCTACATCCGAAGCCCTCTAGATCCGAAGTCTTAAACCCAAAGCCCTAACCCATAGGCCCCACAGTAGTTCGTTTTGGGCTTACCTTATAGGTTTTTATATATGAGGCCGCAAGTTCCTTTTTGTGGTTCATACAGAGAGTTCTATAAGGTAATTCCAAAAAGGAACTACTTTGGGGTTCCTTTTTGTCGTTCATATGTAGAGTTCTATAAGGTAATCCCAAAAAGGAACTACTTCGGGGCCTTTGGGTAACCACCACACCTTGAGGCGCGTGCCAGCCAAGAGCGAGCGGAGGCTGCTCTCAAGGCCCCATTCTACTACAGTAAACCCAGGGTTTGGGGGTTTAGGGGTTTTGGGGTTTAGGGTAAACCCCATAAAGTTGGAAACTGGACTAAGTCCAAATAGTGCTGGGGTTCCCTATACATTACTCTTAAGGATTGAGGCTATAGGGTTTCCAACTTTTAGGCTTCTACTGTATAGAAGTCTGAGCAACTACCCCAAGGCTCCATAGTAGTTCCTTTTTGGGATTACCCTATAGGATTCTAAATATGAAGCCCCAAAAAGAACTACTATGGAGCCTCAGGGTACTGATCACTAATACTCTTCCCTAGAGTTTCTCATTGTACTTCTACTTATACTGATACTTATACTTACTTATATGTTATGCAAAACTCTGCTATACTTTTCTGTATTATGCTATACCGTTATTTTATCAAGGCCCCTATCCTAACTTAAACTAAGGGGTCGCCTTAGGGGTGTTACATGCTTACCGGCTTTGTTTTTTGGGGGGTGCAGGAGCTTGAGAGGCTTTCGGAGTTTTCAGGGTTTAGGGTTGAGGAACCTATTTTTTAGGATTCCTTATTATGAGTTCCTTATATGAGTCCTTAAGGAGGTAGGCTATTTGGGGTTAAGGGAGGGGTTTGGGCTTCGAGGTGTTGGGGCTTTCAGGATTTTGGGTTGACTTGTTTTCTCTCTGAGGTGTAAGACCCAGCAAGCAAGAATAAACAGAAGGCGAAGAAGAAGACTACTAAGAAGAAGAAGAAGAGGAGGAAGAACAAGCAGTAGTACTACTCGTCGTCGTGGCAGTCGCAGTCCTAGTAGGGTCCATCAGTCATCAGGCAGTCGTCGTGTCCAACGCCGCACACCCAAATCCTCAACGGGATCTCGCATTGCTACTTATGTTTCAGCTAAAGTCCAAAGAAAAACAACACTGAAATATCGTATATTTCTAGATTCTAGACCATCCTCGCCGCCTTGCCCTTACCCCTCAAGCCCTGACAAAGCCCTGGAGCACTGCAAGGAAGCGCGCACGGCCAAAGCAGCAGCCGAAGAGGCAAAAAAGGCATCGGCATCACCCGGGACTTCTGATATTATATACTATGTTCTAATAAGATATATCATATTATGTGATATGGGGCGCAGCCTGTCATTTTCAAAACGTATGCCAGCATCGCCCATTCAGAAGCTGTCGGCCAACAGCCCAACTTGACCTGCAGCTCACTTTCGACTCAGGACACGTAGATGTTTCCTCCCTTCATGTTTTGCGTATCCCAAGATTTGCACTTGCTGCTTTGACATTGGCGTGTGTAAGTCAGCAGTGCAGCTCGAGGGGAAGAGCCAGAGATTTGAGGGGAAGAGCCCGACATTCGAAGATTGTTCGGTGTAGACTGGAGCTTGCTGTCCCCTATATATATATATATATATATATATATATGTTTGTCAGCAGCGGGCAGCTGGTGGTTCCCTTGCTAAAATCGAGATTGGCTCTTGAATACCCCATAATGATTCGACCCGATCTGCTATCCGATTGTATTTCGTTACATCAATGCCAAACCAAAGGCATGATGTGGCATCTACCCATAGGCCCCAAGGTAGTTCTTTTTTGGGATTACCCTATAAAATTCTACCTGTGAACCCCAAAAAGGAACTACTATGGGGCCTTATACCCACGCAGAAGTGTTTGGGTTATCCGGACAAACCTAGGGTCATTCAACATCTTGCCAAAGCTTGAGACCACAAGACGCCGCCAGGCTGTCGCCCAGCTCGCCACCCAAGACGAGAGGCACTGAGCTGCATTACCTTAAACGACGGAAGAATGGGCATCGGAAAACACTCCGAAGCCTACCACCCGCACGGCCAATCATACTAACCCTAAACCCCTAAACCCCTAAACCCTAAACCCCACTGTGTTTTTTTTTTAAACCCACTGTGTTGACTTCAGAGCCTCTGTGCCTGAAATCAGGAGATGACTAGGCTAGGGGCCAGCCACAGCCGGGTGGTCCAGAAACGCAGAATCCTGATCAACCCTATTCTACTCCCCGGTGCTTAGTAGGGAATGGGGGAATGATGGGGAATGGATGATGGGGACTCTTATTGGGGATTATATAGAGGCTACTATAGGGATCCTTTCCCCCAATCCCTACGAAGAGCTGGACATTCTAACTACTAAGACCCCTACAACAGTTCCATGGAGCCCTTTATGGTAACCCTTATAGACTCCTAGACGGGCCTGAATATTTACCAATACCATTGTGGGCGTTCCTCATTATTTTTATAGCGGACTAGCACATCCCTGCAGCCTATTCTAATTATGAAGGCCCCGAGATTAGATTACGGCCGAAAGCCGATCGGTATCCGAGTTATCCGAGGCTTTCCTTTCGAATCCCGACGCCACCATCTTTACACACTCCTCAACCTCTACGGTTTTGAGGTTTGGGGTTCGGAATTCAGGGTTTTAGTAGTTGAGGTTTTTGGTTTCGGGTGTTTCGGCTTGTTTGCAACAACGTGTTCTTTGTGTGATCCCTAAGGGTCCATGTGCCCAAATAGTACACACTGTGGCCTTACAGTAGTTATTAAAAGAGTGCTTTGGGGCCAAAGTCTATGCTACTTGGGCACATGGACCCTCAGACCCTAAACTCTTAACCCCTAAGCACTTCGGGGATTCTAGTGTTGATGACTTCAGCTCGAAGTCTTTACCCTGATGAGGCCAAGCTCCCACGAGGGGTTGAAGCCGCACAAGGGCAGAAAGCTCTCTAAATTGGATAGGGTCCCTAAAACGGCGCCCTAACTAAGAGAAGCTCCCCTAAAGTTCCCTAACCAAAAACTTGTTCTATTTATTAAGGCCCCTAATATAGAACCCTACTATATAGATCCCTTAAAGAATCCTAGGATCCCTTCAAAGGAACCCCATTCTAATTATTAAAGCCCCTATAGCACCCACCTGAAGGCGGCCAGCGCCAAGCATGCCGAGATCAGCCCCCCAGGCGTCCCAGCAGTTGAGGACTCCAACATCCCTTAACTTCAGGAATATTCCTGAACATGTGGTGGGATCTGTAATGTGATTTAAGGAGTCGGAATATTCCTTGATGAAAGGCTATTGGAGGTCGGATTTCAGGTTTTGGGGTTTCGGGCTTTTAGGCTTTAGGGTTTCGGGTTTGGGCTTTTGGGATTGAGAGTTCGAGGCAGGGTCATGGTGATTTCGTTGTGATTTCGTTTTCGGGTGTGATTTCTGATCTTTGAAGATGCTTGGTTTGGCCGGCGCAGCCTGGCGACGCCTTCCACATGGTGTCATGGTGCTTTTTCGTACGGTGCAGGTTCGGCTCAGCCCTTTGTAGCCTAGCAGAAAAGTCGCCATGGGAAACTTGTGCGAGTGTTGTGGAATACGAGACAAGGGGCCGACGGGCCTGCCACCCTACGGTAGTGGTGGCAATACCAAGCATGGATATGCAGTGGCTATCAATGACAGAGCACGCATGGAGGATGCCATCGTAATCCAGGAGGATGTCGGTGGCTACGCGTGCCTTGCCGTGTTCGATGGGCACGGTGGTGACACAGCAGCAAGACTGGCTCAGTCGTACGTGCCAAAGCAGCTGGACCAGCATCTTCAGCAGACCACCGACAAAGAGAAGGCGGCGATTGATGCCTTCCACGCAGTGGAAGAGCTCATGCACGCAGAACTGGCCGGCGAGGCCAGTATGTTGCCTTCCGGAACATCGTCAGGAACCGTCGCATGCGCGGCTCTTTTCAAAGACAAGGAGATTATCTTGGTCAATTTGGGAGATTGCCGTGCGGTGGTCTGTGAGTCCTCGAAGGTTGGCACCAAAACTGAGGACCACTCGCCGGAAAAGAACGCAAAAGAGAAGCAGAGACTAGAAGAGGCAAGAGTGAGCATGGAGTTCGGATACGTGGACGGCAAGGTGCAGGTCTCCCGGGCCTTCGGTGACATTACGGCTAAGACGGGACACAAGATCCATGGCCTTACGTGCACGCCGGAGGTCACAATGGTCGAAGTGAAGGAGACCACGGAGTTCCTTGTGTTGGCCACAGATGGGATCTGGGATGGAATCCTAGATCAGACGGCGATCACCACGGCCAGGAAGGTTCTTCGTGAGACGCGGTCTCCAGAAGCGGCAGCTAAAGCAGTGGTTGAGGCCGCCGGCAAGGTGACCAAGGCAGACAATGCCGCTGTGATTGTCTTAGCGCTCAACGTGCCAGAGCCGCCCCCTAAAAGGGATGCGGCCCAGAGCCGCTTTCGACGGAGCTCCAAGACGGAGTGAAAGCTATCGATTCTCTTTGCAAGTGCATGTGCTAGATGCCTCGCCGGTCCATTCCGGCTGTTCCAGGAGGCGTCGCTCGCTTACATTTGAAGCAATTTGAAGAAAAGAGGTGCTCCACCATGTATGATCTTCCACGGACTCGGATGCGGGCTTGATATATGCAGTCTTCACGCCACACGGTCTTGCTTCGTGGGCGGCGCCTATAAACTGCCACACTGCCACACGGTCGACCCAAATGTGCAACTTAGACTCAACCTACAAGCAGTTCAAACTCTTTGGCCTCTGTAGCCCAAAAGGCTTCGCGACTTACATCGTAGTGGCATTCTGGTTACAAGCCCTCACATACTCCTGAGCAGCATTTCTTGCATGACGTCTACATGCAGCACTTCAGAGTTTTTACTGGGCCAGGTAGAAGTCTCACAGTAGTCACCGTTGTCATCCCGCTTACGATATGACTGGTCGTCTCCGTGTGTCCTCGTAGTCTCCTTCGGCAGCCCACATCTTGCGTGCCGCGAGCCGCGAGCCGGGTAGTAGGCAGGCACGCTGACCTCCTCCTCCACCTGGCTCCCCAAAAGAACACTTACCGCTCCAAGACAGGCCTTTAGTACTTTAGTACTTTTGTTGTGTTTGTACTTTTATTGTGTGGCCACATAATACATATATATATATATATATATATATGTATATAATATATATATATATATATATACATATATATATATACATATATATATTATATATAATTATATAGTGTATATATATATATAATATATATATGATATGACCGTTCTAAGGCAGGGGAGGGGGGGGCGGGACGGTCACAAAAATACAGATATGTGAAAATCTAAGCTCGAAAGACGTGATTTTGCAAACTTATAGAATATAAACACATAGTTGGCTGTTTCGGTCCAAGCCCATCTTACCCCCCCCATCTTACCCTTATTCGGTCCGGGGCTTGGCTTGTGGAATTTATTATCCTAGGAATCTCCCCAGTGAGCTATCTGCCTAGGTCAACAACATGGCGCCGTGGTCAGCTGCAATCTCAGTGTGCCTAAGTTTCTGACTGACAGTGTTAGTGCCCGCATCATCAGGTCCTTCGTCTCCGCCATCACATTGTCGGCAGCAGCCTGAGAAGTGAAAATTGCACAGGAACCTCGGACAGAGGTTGGAACCTCGAGCAGAGGTTGGAACCTCGAGCAGAGGTTGGTTCTGCTGAAAGGACCTCGGACAGAGGTCGGAACCTCGAACAGAGGGGGCCTCGGACAGAGGTCGGAACCTCGAACAGAGGGGACCTCGGACAGAGGTCGGAACCTCGAACAGAGGTTGGACCCTGCACAGGGGTCGGAACCTCGAACAGAGGTTGACAGGAGCAGCAGGAACCTCGGACAGAGGTCGGACCCCGAACACCGTCAAGGCAAAGAGTGCAGTGCACCGAAGATCGTACTGCGGCTCCTACGGTGTTCCTTGTATAGTCTGCTCTGTTGAGGCTGGGCCTGTTCCTGGCCGATGAGATCACTTTATTCCGTGCGTGCGAGTCCCAGAAAGGCCTGCTTTTCGTCATTAATGAGACGTGAGTCAGATTCTCTAAGCGAGTCAAACCCTCCAGCCTGATGCTCTCCCACAGTGAGTTCAGTGTGATTGGCAATAAATTCTGATTGTGTACCCAGGTCACATTCATGGCGTTGTGGTCGGCTGGGATCTCACTGGAATTTCTAGATGAAGCCCTGTCGACTCTGCGATCACACAGTCGGCAGCAGCCTGAGTCTGAGGATTTGAGTGCTGGGCTGTGCAGCAGTTGGACCTCGAACAGAGGTCGGAACCTCGGACAGAGGTCGGAACCTCGGACAGAGATTGGAACCTCGGACAGAGATTGGACCCAGATCACGTTCAAGGCAGGAGAACCGTGCACTGAAGATCGTGTTGCAACTCATGTGGTGTTCTTTGCGTCGTCTGTTGAGATCACATCTTCTGTGCGCACGAGACCCAGAAGGGCAGGTTCGGCGTCATCCGGAAACTGAGCTCCCTGTGTGCTGAGTGAATAAGGCTGGAATCACGGCGGTCGGCTGTAACCTAAGCTGTAAGAGTCAGTTTACAGCTGAGTGAGCTCACATCGTCATCACTAGGTCATTCTTATCCACCATCACACCGTCGGCAGCAGCCTGAGTGAGGAGCTGAGTGCAGCTGTATTGCGCAGGAGTCGAACCTCGGACAGAGGTTGATGGCATGTTTTGCATCGTCCGGCCAAAGAGCTACCTGTGTGCCTAGGATTTGAATCACCGCAGGGTCGGCTGCAACCTCAGTGTGGTTTGCTGATTTTTTTGAATCTGGTTGTATTTAAATTAAATTAAGAATGAAATGAGGCCCTTCGTCTCTGCCGTCGCACCGTCAGCAGCAGCCTGAGTGAGGAGTTCATTGCCAGTCTGTGCACTGCACAGGAACCTCGGACAGAGGTGGTAACCGGAACCTCGAACCTCAGGGACCTCGGACAGAGGTCGAAACCTGGGGGGACCTTGGGCAGAGGTCGGAACCTCGAACAGAGGTTGGACCTTGGGCAGAGGTCGGAACCTCGAACAGAGGTTGGACCTTGGGCAGAGGTCGGAACCTCGAACAGAGGTTGGACTTCGGACAGAGGTCGGACCCCGAACGGGTCAAGGCAAGAGGGCAGTGCACCATAATCGTTTTGCGGCTGTGCTGCCCAAATGGCTCTCAGTCTGACTCAGGCCTTTGGCCAGCCGGTTCGCTTCGAGACAAAGGCTCGCTTGCTCGGCAGCCTCCTTGAAAGCCTGTGCTTGGATCAGCAGGACCGTTTGCGGTGGTGTGCTTCAGTTGTGCTCGAAGTAGAGTACCAATCGAGAGGGCTGGTGAGGTACCAACGTCTCTGGCAACAGAACAGCAGCCGCATGTCAGCTTAGAACCAGGGCCATGCTACGTGCATGGCCGCATAGTGGCTATGCACCGGGCAAATCCAACGGGGCCCTGAAGCAAAAAAACCAGAGCCATCATTTTAAATTAAATTCAGCCGCGTGCAAGAGCTCCACCCGCGACCGTGACGATGTCGGCTGCAGCGGCGGAAGACGCAGCACCTGCTGCCGACGCAGCACCTGCTGCCGAAGCAGCGCCTGAGGCGCCTGCGCTTGGGACTGGTGAAGCGGCGGCTGCTGAAGCAGCACCAGCTGCTGGCCCTTCTGATGAGAAGGTAGAGGAGCGCCGTTTTTGTTTGATGGGGTTTGGTAGCAGTAGCAGTAAAAATAGGTAGTTGTAACTGGAGTAGCAGTAGTAGTAGTAGTAGTAGTAGTAGTAGTAGTAGTAGTAGTAGTAGTAGTAGTAGTAGTAGTAGTAGTAGTAGTAGTAGTAGTAGTCGTAGTCGTAGTAGTAGTAGCAGTAGTAGTAGTAGTAGTAGTAGTAGTGGATTAAAGTAGGGTAGACTTCCGTCAGGCATTGCGACGGTTCGGTGCAGTTTAGGATTCGGCATTTTTATTTGTTATTACGGTCAATGTGTCAATGTTTGTTATTGAATTCCCTCTTGTTGTGAGGGTGTAATCATCGGATTCAGCATCAGGACCAGATGCCAGCTCCGGTCAAGAAAGCGGCGAGTGACACGGAGGAAGAGGAGTCTCTCCCGAGATGCTTCCAGACCTGCCGAAAATCCCAGTCGGCACGACCTGGGACGAGGACACGGGCAAGATAGAGCTGGCGTCTCCGACGGTGACGATGTGGTCCGAGGAATCCCCTGACCCTGGCATGACTGAGGCGGCAGAGATGGAGACCATAAAGACCGAGACGGCAGAAGCTCCCAAGTCGGCCCCTGAGACGGCAGAAGCTCCCGAGTCGGCTCCTCTCCAGCCGGTGAAGCAGGAGCAAGTCAAGGCGAAGACGAAAGCCATCCCTAAAAAGGCGCCTGCACAGCTCCTGGCCAAGAATGAGGCTCCAGACAGTCAGCGGGACACCACAGGTCGTAGCCGGCAGGAAGCCAAGAAAACAAAGGTGCCACTTGAAGAGCCGGCAGCGGATGGGCACGACGGCCCTGTGTACAACGGCAAAAGAATGAGAACTGCCAGGGGGTATATGCAGGATTATGACATCCCCAACGAGCAGGCCCGCCGGCCAAATTAGGGATTCGCCGCTGTCGAACCCTCGGCCAACACCTGCAACTCAACAGTTTCCCGCAGGTCTACCGGGAGGTGTACTTGTACACTGCTTCCCTGGCGGACATGCTGTGCCGGCTGAAAGTCGACGCAGGGGCTTGGAACGTTTCTTGGCTGCGGATCGAAGCTCGTTTTAGACTGACTACTACCGCCCCTATGCGTGCTGCTGCAACACAAGAACAACTATAATAGTTACTTCCTACTGACTACTACTATTTAAGTACTACTACTACAACTACAACTACTACTACTGCTACTACTACTACTACTACTACTACTACTACTACGTTTACTACTGACTGACTAACACTACTACCACTACCACTACCACTACCACTACCTCTACCTCTACCTCTACCTCTACCTCTACCTCTACCACCACCACCACCACGACTACTACTACTACTACTACTACTGCTACTACTACTACTATACTACTACTACTACTACTACTACTACTACTACTACTACTACTACTACTACTACTACTACTACTAAGTACTACTTCTACCGCTGCTGCTACTACTACTACTGCTGCTGCTAGTTTACTAGTACCGCTACTACTACTACGTTTACTACTACTATTATTACTACTACTACTACTACTACTACTACTACTACTAGTACTACTAATACTCCTGCTGCTGCTGCTGCTGCTAAAGCACTACTACTACTACTACTACCAACAACTACTACTACTACTGCTACTACTACTACTACTACTCCCACCACTACCACTACCACTACCAGTACCAGTACCACTACCACTACTGCCACTGCCACGACCACCACGACCACGACTACTACGACGGCTACCGCTACTACTACTACTACTACTACTACTACTACTACTACTACTACTACTACTGCGGCTGCTACCACTCCTACTGCCACTGCCACTGCCACTGCTGCTACTTGCTGCTGTTGCTGCTGCTACTGGCTGCGTCAATCAATGCATCATGGCTGCCATCATCATCATCTCCCTCATCATCTCCGTCATTATCAACAGCACACCTTAAGGTTTAACTGGCTGTAGATTTGAGACGGTTCCAGGTTTTATTTAGGTTTGGACAGACAGGGTGCTCAGGGTTAGAGGAGAATTGTGCAATCACTTTACTTATCATAGTTCAAGTCCCTCAATCCTATTATATACAGGTAACCGACTCCTCCCAAACCGTATACACCCGGAACCGAAAACCCCACACCCCAAACCCCCGTCATAGTAGTAGGAGTCGGAGTACGGGGCAGCAGGAGTAAGCAGCAGCAGTAGGAGTAGCAGCAGCACCAGCAAGTAGCAGCAGCAGCAAGTTGTTTTTTACGTGAAGTTTGGCGGCTCAAATTTGCTGCTGAAGTGTAGCCGGCCGGATCTGTGTTTTGAGCCATGAACCACGGAGCGTACTTTCGGTGCATGGAAGCCTGGACTGAGGCGCAAAGGCAGCTCGGCCAGGTAGATCAACGCTGGCTTGCCGACTACGCCGACGAGTTTCAGGTGCTTCCTCCCGACGAGAAGACTTGGTGGCACAATGAATTCCACGAGCACTTTAACGGCTCAGGAAAGAAGGTGTCCAAGCTGACGCTCCAGCTGCTCTCGCCGTTGACAGTACAAGTTCATGGGCTTCAAAACCCAGAAACGATGAGCAAACTGCTGGAAGGAATGATGGCTAGGGCCAACACCTCACGTCATGTCTGGATTCGCGAGCAATGCGATATATGGTATTCCGTGATGTTGGAGATGCACACCATTGCTTCGTTATGCAGCATCTTGGCTTTATTTATTTTCGGCTTATTTTGTGATCAATATTTTTGCTGGACTCTTTCATTCAGCATGTGTTACTAAGGCCCGGTCTACAACATGCAATTTGCATCCCAGCAGACGATCACCCAGATGTTGCAGCAGATGGCGCCGCCCGCTCCGCAGCAGGTGCCAGCTCTTGTGCAAGTCGCTCCCGCACCCCAAGGGGGTGCAGGTGGCCCTCCACGAGCTGCACAACAACCGTGAAAAGGTGAAGAGCGATGAGGGAGCAGGTCCCGCAGGACAACCGAGAAAAGGTGAAGAGTGATGTGGGATTCGCAGCGATGAGGGCTGGCAAGCTTCTAGCCGGCTGTTGAGTTGGCAAGCTTCTGATAGCCGGCTGTTGTTTTCTGTGCGAGGCGTGACAAAGGCCTCATGCAAGTGTCTTTTCATGTCGCAAAGCGATATGACCTTAATAATCGCATTGCGCCGGTGGCCGGTGCGGAATCCGGGCTTTCAAAGGACACACCTCCTAGCCCGCCGAAGGAAAAAATATGCCCCATGCCGCTTCTTAAGCCCAGGAGTTCAAATTTGAGAGTTTAGGGTTTAGGGGTTTAGGGTAGTAGTAGTAGTAGTAGTAGTAGTAGTAGTAGTAGTAGTGCTAGTAGTGCTAGTAGTGCTAGTAGTGCTAGTAGTGCTAGTAGTGCTAGTAGTGCTAGTAGTGCTAGTAGTGCTAGTAGTAGTGGTAGTAGTACTCGTAGTAGTAGTGGGAGTAGTAGTAGTAAGTAGTAGTAGTAGTAGTAGTAGTAGTAGTAGTAGTAGTAGTAGTAGTAGTAGTAGTAGTAGTAGTAGTAGTAGTAGTAGTAGTAGTAGTAGTAGTAGTAGTAGTATATAGTAGTAGTAGTAGTAGTAGTAGTAGTAGTAGTAGTAGTAGTAGTAGTATATAGTAGTAGTGATAGTAGTAGTAGTAGTAGTCGTCGTAGTAGTAGTAGTAGTAGAAGTAGTAGTAGTAGTAGTAGTAGCAGTAGTAGTAGTATGTAGTAGTAGTAGTAGTAGTAGTAGTAGTAGTAGTAGTAGTAGTAGTAGTAGTAGTAGTAGTAGTAGTAGTAGTAGTAGTAGTAGTATTGGTGTAGTACTAGTAGTAGTAGTAGTAGTAGTAGTAGTAGTAGTAGTAGTAGTAGTAGTAGCAGCCTAGAAATCCCAAACCCTTCAAAATTGTCGGGTCTTGCTAAAAACCCCATGTTTGGAGTTGCTCCTCCTCGAGCCCCGTCTCTAGAAACCCCGGGTTTACCCGTGACCAACCCGTGATTTACCCGTGCCCAACCCATGATTGACCCGTGACCATGGGTTACACAAACCCCGAGCTTCATGCCAAAACCCCGGGTTTCGAGCCTCCGCCTGCTTTCTTTGCGGGTTTGGGTTCCCTAGGTAGCAACAGCAGTTTAATATATATTAGCCTGTCGTTCCGACCTTCACCCAGCCTTCCAAGGTTGCGCACAGTGTGGCAACACACCCTTCGCCCAACGGCCGAGCGTATGCGCTGGACATAGTGGGGCAGCTGCATGAGAAGATCGTGGCGGGGGACTTCACAAACCCCAGCGCCTTTGTGGTGAACGTGATGAAGCGCAAGAAGCACCTCCTGCGAGCCATGCCTTCAAGTGTCGCTGTTTGTGTGGCAGCTTTTGTACTTAGTACACCTTAGTTTAATTTAATACATTTCACTTCTCATTTCTTGCGACGCCAAGAAAAAGAGTATCGGCAAGATTGGTCGCCGCAGCAACCGCAAGCTTCCTGGTGCTCTGGCTCGAATGTGCCACCAACAGCTGAAGTCCAGCCTGAACCTTGGCAGTAAGAGCAGGAGTTGGAATAGGAGTAGGAGAGTCGGAGAGCACAAGTTGTGTCTGGTTGTTGACACAAGGACTACCACGTGCCTCCGCCGCCGACACAGCCTGAGACTGATTGGCAGTCAGCCTGGAGCAAAGGAGATTGGCGCCGATGGGAGCACCAGAGCCGGCAGGAGAGTCGGCAGGAGAGTTGGCATGTAAAGCGAAGCAAATCAATGGATCCCCGAGATGATCGCAACAGCTGGGATGGCCGAGATGATCGTGACAGGGATCGCGGAGACAATCCCACCTGGGATCGCCGAGATGATCGCAACAGGGATCGCCGAGATGATCGTGATCGCGACCGCCGAGATGATCCCGACCGCCGAGATGAGCGCAGGTACTACGACCGAGACGATCGTGTTCGAGACGGCGATTGGAATCGTGATTCCAGGGAGCGTTTCCAGAATCGGCGCTAGGTTTTAAATTCTATTCGTCACCGAGTCGTCCAGAAGCTGCCGGCCCTGATGTTTTGTACACCCTCGCTACCTCAGTCGGCTTCTGAACAAAGAGCGTTTTGCACACACGGTGAGTACATGAGGAGCTGTATGCAGACTCAGCTTTGCTGCAGGCCGGCCTTGCGAACTCGAACTTGTTTTTTTGCTGGGACCTCAGACTGTAGTGACCGTGGAAGGACAGTAACGTTAACGCCTGTTGTCTCGCAACACAGGTTACTCTCTGGCGAAGCCGGCAGAAGTACAACAAACAGTCGGCAACTTAATTTGTCTTGACTTTGTGATTTTAAATGTCCAAACTCTAAACCCTACAAACCCAGACCCTGCGCGGGCACCTGCGCGCACCCCTGCGCGCACCCCGCGCGCACCCTGCGCGCACCCCTGCGCGCACCCCTGCGCGCACCCCTGCGCGCACCCCTGCACCCTTGCGCGCACCCTTGCGCGCCCTTGCATTGTGTTGTAATTGGTAGCCCAGAACCTCGAACAGAGGTCGGAACCTCGAACAGAGAGGACCTTGAACAGAGGTCGGAACCTCGAACAGAGGGGACCTCGAACAGAGGTCGGAACCTCGAACAGAGGGGACCTCGAACAGAGGTCGGAACCTCGAACAGAGGTTGGACCCCGGACAGAGGTCGGAACCTCGAACAGAGCTACTATTACTACTGCTACTGCTACTACTACCAGACCTTTAGATAGAGATCTAAATTCTGTGGACGCACTCACCCCCGCCGCTGCTGTTATGATCTCAAACGCAGGCAGCAGCAGCCCACCTCGCGTTGAAAAGCATGTCCACAATAAGGAGCAACATGCTTGCGAGCTCCTACAGGAAAGTATGGAGCAAAACTTGGGGAGCTTTCCGCCTCAAGAACTTGCAAGAGACAGCCGGCACCATTATCGAAAATTGGGAGTACGACCCAACCTTGGACGTCCGTTACCCCATGAAAGTGAAGATGCCGATGAAGGCTATGAAGGTGATGAAGAAGCCGGCGAAGGCGATCAAGGCGATGAAGAAGAAGCCGACGAAGGCGATGAAGGCGATGAAGAAGACCGACAAGAAGGCCGACAAGAAGGCCGACAAGAAAGCCGACTGAACAACACCGTGACAGAGCAGCTGCCTGGAAGGAAAAAAACAGAGTGGAGCCGCAAGGTTTTGAGTCTTATGGAAACCTTCGCCATATTCAGCAAGGCCGAAACCGAAATGCCGGCCCTGATGTTTTGTACACCCTCGCTACCTCAGTCGGCTTCTGAGCAAAAGAGCGTTTTGCACACACGGTGAGTACATGAGGAGCTGTATGCAGACTCAGCTTTGCTGCAGGCCGGCCTTGCGGACTCGAACTTGTTTTTTTGCTGGGACCTCAGACTGTAGTGACCGTGGAAGGACAGTAACGTTAACGCCTGTTGTCTCGCAACACAGGTTACTCTCTGGCGAAGCCGGCAGAAGTACAACAAACAGTCGGCAACTTAATTTGTCTTGACTCCGAGGCAACGTCTGAGTTTACCTTTAATTCGGGCTTAGCTGTCAGACAATTAAGCCTTGGAGCAAAGCAGGGGTGCGCGCAGGGGTGCGCGCGGGGAGTGCGCGCGGGGAGTGCGCGCGGGGAGTGCGCGCGGGGGTGCGCGCGGGGCGTTGTGGTTAAATTGTTACACAATAATAATACTAATAATACGAATAATAATAATGATGATAATAATAATAATTAATAATCATAATAATAATAATAAAGTAACGTTATTAATCTACAACTTTAACAGCTACTCTTGCATGCATAAATTGTTTGTAAATTACGTATGTGTGTGTGTGGGAAACACAGGACATTATTGAAAATGAGACGTTTGCGCAGTTTAACACGTAAGGTCATCACGAAAGCAAATGTTCGAGCTGGTGAAGCCACGTTCAAGCAAAGCTGCCTGTGCGATTTCTTCATTGAAAAACTTACATTAGAATAAACGCAAGCTTGGTAAATTCAAGGTTGTTATTATTATTATAAATTATTATTATTGTAGTTATTATTGTTATTTCCTCGGTCCCACTAAAAACGAAATTCCTGTTTAGCGCCAATCCATTCATAGTTACTCGACACTTCCGGTTTCTTTTCCCGAATTTTAACGAAATAGTTTCATGCATACAATATAGGAGAGCTTCGCTAAATTTACTAAGCCCAGGTTTGCTTGGATTTCAAGTCAGGTGGTGCATAGCTATCGGCCTGAGTTAATAAACCAATTCGGATGGAGCTCACTGAGCTAAACCTTAAATCCTGGTTTTACTTCTTTGCGATTTTGAATGTCCAAACTCTAAACCCTACAAACCCAGACCCTGCGCGCGCCCCTGCGCGCACCCCTGCGCGCACCCCTGCGCGCACCCCTGCGCGCACCCTTGCGCGCACCCCTGCGCGCACCCCTGCGCGCACCCCTGCGCGCCCTTGTCTTTTGGTTTAATTAAAACAAAATAAACCCGTCAGGTTTCGCTCAACCGTAAAATGAATTCAATTTAGGGTTTAGTTTGACCCGAACTAAACCCGAATTTAAGGTTTAGCTAAACCGATTGAGGTTGCCGAACACACAAGAATTCAGGGTTTAGCTTATAACCTTGAAATATTTTCAGAAAGCTAGGTTTAGCAGCTATAGCCCGCAGATTGACGCTGAAGCATGTTGAATTTATAAGATTCACTAACTAAGTACATACTGGTTGTAAGGTAAATTTAAATGAGCCAATCAGGATTTTCATCAGTTTGTTCATTTCATGTGTTCTTCAGAATGAAATCAAGTCCCGACGTTAACTTGAGTAGCGAAACCAGTGACTCAAATTTCAGCTTGTGCTAAACCCCAGATCGCTTGCAGTCTTCGTTGTTTGATCCTTCATGCTGCAGGTCTATGGGCTTTGCAGTGACGAAGAAGATACGCGACTGGTGCCAGCCTCGGGCTGCATGCCATTCTTGAAAGACCAGTTCTTGGACTTGACACGTCATGGGAACCACCGATGGCAGCCAGAGGATCAAGAAGGTGCAGGTTGCAATCAACATCATGTCCGGGGGTGCTGGAAATCCAACACCCCCGGCCCGGGTTCAAAATCCAGGTTTCAACCTGGCTCCAACCTAGGTTCCAACATGAACGTCAAGAATCTAGCACCAGCAGACAGCACCAAACTTGGCGAGGCATCAGCCCTGATTAAACAATCAGGGCCCCTTTTGCGACCTCCATGGCGTCCGCCAGCGGCAGGGGCAATGGTCCTGGGCGTGGTCGTGGTGACGACATGGAGCGCTACCAGAAGACCAATCGGCACCAGGACTTTGCGGCCTTTAGACGGACACACAACCATAAGATGAACCTGCTGCAAACGGAACTCGACTCTGCCCTCAGACGTCTGGCTGAAAAGAGCGAAGAAGCCGACAGTCTGAAGAGTCGGCTTGATCAGTCGGCCAAGGAGATTGCAGATCTGAAGGCCTGGAAGGAGCGCGTCACAGAGTCCGCTATTGCGGGCCGGGTTAAGTCCCTGGAAGCCGACCAGAAGGAGTCGGTGTCGCTGATCGCCACCCTCAAGTCGAAGATCAAGAGCCAGGAGGAGGAGCTGGTTCGCCGTGCAGACGTGGAGGCCTCGTTGAACAAGAAGTGCACGGAATTCATCGATGCGAATGCGCAGTTCAAAGCCAGCGACCAGTCGTTGAGGATTCAGGTCCGTGACTACAACGACTTGACCCAGGACCTCCGAAAGTCCCTCCAGGAAAAGAGGACTGAGAATGGAAATCTCCACACGGAGGTGTTCACGCTCAAAGCGAGGCTGAAGCAGCTGGAAAACAAGTTGGCCGAGAAGCCGGCAGCAGCGGCAGCAGAGTCGGCAGGCAGCAAACAGGTGCCTTGATTGACATTAAATTCTTTTCACGTTCTGAGAAATGCTGCGTCTTTTGCGCTTGACACATGTAGACTGCTGCAGCAACGATGACAGGAGCCGACTCTGAAGACGACAACAAAGTCGACGCCAACGGCGGCGAAAGCAAAGCCGACTCCAGCGGCTACAACAATGGCGACCCTGCCCCCTAAGCCGAAGTCGGCTCCTGCCAAAGCACCGCGGCTTCTTTCACGTCAGTTGGTTTGTCTTAGGTCATAGGTCTTGCACCCAATTTGGTTTGCTTTCAAGCAGAGGTTCCGGTGCTCCCGCCGCAAGAAAAGACGAAGGACACGCGGAAAGAGACACCAAGCTCCTCATCCTCAGACAGTGGCACGGTCGTGAAGAAGAAAAAGAAGAGGAGGACCAGGAGCAGAACGAAGGGACGCAGCAGACGCAGATGATTTTCCTGCGGTTTCGCCCAGTCGAAGTCCGAACAGCTTTTTGAAAAAATGCTGCGTCGTCTTGGCAAGCACCTGTGCACGACTTTTGAATGCCTTGCCTTCTGCGTCCTTCATCAGCAGCAGCACTCACAGCTGCCATGATTCCTTGCCATGTGACGCCCAGGTGCCTTCCCAGTACCTGGCTCTGCAGGCTCGAGGTTCAGCACTGACTCGTCGTGAGCTTCGGCTTATGAATGCTGCAGCATCTGTACTGCAGGTGGGCTTCTGCAATCCAGCAGCAGACATCGCCTCAAAGGGATGTTGACACCAGTCTCGGATAAGGCTCACGAGTCTGAAGTCCTATCCAGGTCCAACGACAGCTTCTTCAGGGACCCAGCCCTGCCGAGCCTTCAGGAAGAGTCGGCAGAGGGTTGCGGCCTGCTTGTCTGCTCTTGACCTTGATTTTGACATGGCCCAGGTCTCTTTCAAGAGGGACGGCTGGACGAGCATTTGGTGGAAGGCAGCGCTGGTCTAGGCTGACCTATTGACAGTGGCATGTTTCGTCCGGTTGATATGGCCAGGAGTCGGCTGGCTGCCGCGAGGATTTCCCACACAGCAGCAGGGTGCTCAACGAATGAAGCTGATGTCAGTCTTGCTGGCACGTTGGCTTTCGCATGGATTGAAGCCGCAGCTTCCTGCTTACAGTCCGCTGATGCAAAGTTTCACGAAGAGCGGCAGAAGCACACCTCAGCCTAGATCTGACTGTGGCACATGGCAATAATACTTCACTCCTTCTTAGTCTTCTCGACCAGTCTGTAGTGGCACAGTCTCAGGAGTACCCGAACCCGGTCCCTGACCTTAGTCAGGACCCATGCAATGCTAAACCAGTGTTGCATGCCTGGCTTACTCTGGAGGTAAATAGCTCCGCCTTCGTCAGGACCCATGCAATGCTACACCAGTGTTGCATGCCTGGCTTACTCTGGAGGTAAATAGCTCCGCCTTCGTCAGGACCCATGCAATGCTAAACCAGTGTTGCATGCCTGGCTTACTCTGGAGGTAAATAGCTCCGCCTTAGTCAGGACCCACGCAATGCTAACCAGTGTTGCATGCCTGGCTTACTCTGGAGGTAAATAATGACTGCAGTCCCTGCAGAACCCCTTCGCTGCACTCGTAATGAATTGTTTCCAAGCCCTCCTCGCTCTGCCATGGCCGTTTCTGAGTCGGATGAGCGTCATCGGCAACAGTGCATCTTACAGTATGGAACCGCAACTTGGCGGCATCTGATATTCTCCGGACAGCCTTGTGCACTCTTGTCGAGAGCCTCGAGGGCAGTATGTGACACACCCTGAAATGATGTCTGAGGCAGCCCAGGCGAAGAAATCCTGCGGGCGTTGCCGGTGGCTGAGCCATGGTGCCTATTGGACGGAGAGGTGTACTTTCACTGATTCAGACGGTGTGGTTCGCACCTGGCTGCAGCGGGCCGTCCATGAAGATGGCACGTTTGGCTTGGAGTGCCGCCTGTGCAAGGCATTTGCAGTGCGGTTTCCAGAGAAAATTTCGAAAAGCAGCCCCTACGTTGAAGGAAAAGTTGTTCCTCGGCAACTGGAAGACTTGCTTCGCCATGCCGGCGATGCAAAAAAGTCGGCCAAGAGAAGTTTGGTGCATCAGCAGGCCCTCGACTATCACCTGTCCCAGTCGGCTGAGCAAGGAGTCGGCGGGAGCGAACCAAGTCGGCCTTCGTATGAGCCGGCCATATGTTCGTATCAGGTGCTGATGTCGGTGGAGACGGCGCACACGCCGAATGCTGCACAGTGCTCTCTCTATGAGGCCAAGTGCAAGCAAGGCAATGCTGACAATCCTGCCTTGTGCCCGCTGGCTAGGTCCTCTGGCGTGGGGCACTGGAAAATCCAGCATAGCCTGTCAGTTCACCTGTGGCGCAGCTGCCGCTCCAAGTTCAAGGCACATGGAGGAGCTCGCGTTCTCTCCATTGGCCTTGCCGAGGAGCCAAGGGTGGGTTTGGCTTTCGGTTTAGCGCAAGTCCTTGTTTTTTGAGGGCCATGTGGTAGCTCCAGAATCCTGTCAGGATGCGAGGGGCAAGTTCGAGCTGCTCAAGGCCAGGATCGTCTACTCCGACTTCACAGTCGGCAACATAGTCGTGGATCTCTTCGAGCATAAAGGCCGGAAGACGGCTTTGGACAAGGCGCAGCAGATCCGGGAATCTCTTCTCCGTTTCGCAGACGGCAATGATGCCATCATGGATGTCCTGTCAAGGAAGACGCAAGCAGCCTGGCAGCACATGCAGCATCAAGCAGCAGCACTTTCGCTTCTCAAGTTTTAAATGATCACAGGTCTTTTGCAGTGACGGAGAGCGTGCGGAACCCCTTTCAGCAAGGCTGGCGAAGGACAGTTCTTTTCATGCTGCATCCTTGAACCAGCCATATAGTGTGTGTGTGTGTGTGTGTCGTTGCACTCGCAGGAGCAACACGTATTGCCCAGCCTCAAGGCTGTGCTGCGCTGCAGCGCACACAGCGCGCACAAGGCGCTGGAGAACTCCCTCGCAAGCGACCCTCGGGCCAAAGACCTGGTAGACGCACTCATTTCGGCCTATTCAGACGAAGCGAGCGGGATGGCTGGAGGGCTCGCACGTGCCCTGACGAACTCCTTGAAGCTTGCCGATTTGGTGGAAAAGGAGTCGGCCGAGCAGACGGATCACCTGGTCTCCAAGATGAGGTTTGCGGCCCAGCGATTCGGGTCGCTGACTGAGGTAGCTGGCCACATCGTCAGAAACACAAAGGTCCTCATCACTGCCCTGACAAAGGTCGGCAACCAGTGGGCCAACAACCTGTTGCATACATGTTTTCGTCCCAAGAAACTCCTCCTGTTCGCACTCATCGCCGAGTTTGGGGCTGCGGCTATGCGGTTCATCCGCAAGTTTGACAACAACGAGAGTGTGGATGGGGGAGGAGTCGGCAAGGTGCCGGCATTATGTCGTGAAGTGGCCCTGCTGGAGCAAGAGCTGCAAACCCTCTTTGCTTTTCGGACTCCCGCAGCCAACGAAAACCAGCTCTCTGAGCCCCTGGTCCTGTCGGAAAAGTACAGCACCGGCTTCGTGCAGATCATGCAGAAGCAATTCAATTTTTTGGTGGAGGAGGCTATCGTTCAGGACGGCGCCATGATTTTTTTCCATGAGGGAGCAGGCTCGGAGCGGCAGGTGAGACGCTGGCTGGCAAAGGAGTTGGGCTCCATGAAGAACATTATCGAGCTGTTTTTGTCGGCCATCAGAGCCGAGTCCGACACTGGCGTTGCTGCAGCTCCGCGATGACAGATGGTTCTGGGATTTCTTCAGGTTCCGCAACGGTCTCTATCTCCATGGCTTCCTGCTCCTCTTCGGTCGCCTCAGGCACTGCTGCTGCTGCGGCTTCCATTGTCTGAGCAATGAAGTCACTGGGGATCTCCGTAGGAGTCTCCCGTTGTGGAGAACCTTGGTAGTATCCGCAAGAAACGAATTGTGACTTGCTGCAGCTCTCTCCCCGTTCTTCTTCCGGCCCGACAGTCGGCTGGACACGTCGGCTTTGCTGCTTGGCTGCACATGCTGTGCACTTAAGGGCTGTTACACGCAGCATGTGCGTCATGATTACTGTTGTTGCCAAGGCCTGAGCAGCTGGCCCCACTTGCCGATGCCTTGAACATAGACGCGTCCTGACAGCACACAGAGTTCTGACTTTGAGCTTTTGAGTGTGATTTGGAGTATGTGGCATGCGTGCACGCCTGCAGCACCTGCAAGCACTGCTGGGGGCACTGCTTCGCGAACCTTGTGCTGAACGTTATGCCGTTATGCAGGTGGCTGATCTTGGCCGTGAGATGCTCCTGCTGCGACCCACGGTTGAGACCCTTTGGAAGCAACTTGACTTTTTTAAAATACTTTATTATAGAATCGCATCGCATTCTATGTTGACACACCGGTGCACTTCAGGCAGGGGCACAGAAACGTGGAGGTCCTTTGGGGGAAAGCCTGCAATCACTGGCAGAACAAGATCCACGCGGTGGATAAAGCCGCGCCGGGGTTGCATTCAGATTCAGTTGTCGGCCATGCTGCAACTTCTTTGTCCTTTCCTGCCATGACACCAGCCAGGTGGCCTTTATGCTGAGCATATACACTTCGACGTCCGAGTTGGAGCAGGAGTTTAGCTTCTTGCAGATTTTCGGGTCGGGAAGAAAGGCGCACACCAGTCCCGAGAACATCTTGTCCGGCCCTCAGTCGCCCATGTCAGTGAATCTTGTCGGCTTTATCAGAGTCATAGTCGGCTTTTAAACCCACAGCTTCATGCAGGGCCCAACATGTGGTTAAGGCTTTCTTAGCTTCAATCCTTAGCCGGCGTCTTGGTCGAGCCCAAAAACCACGACCTCGTGCTGTCTTCATGACTTTAAACCAGACACGACTGGGCCCAGGCACCTCTTCAAGAACAGGATCGACGGGCCGAAGCCGTATGAGATCGCGACCCGTTCTTCCAAGAATGGTGTTGTGACCCTCGTGCCACAGCCCATCTGCTTTGCTGTGCAGAAGATCTACGAGGAGCTCTATATGGTGCAAAACAGAAGGGGGTTGCAACCTCCACTCTGCCCAGACGTGTGCAGCCCGTTCTTGGGACCGACAAAGAGAAGCCTAGTCTGGCTGGGCTGAAGAGGAAGCAGCAGAAAGAAATGAAGGAAGCCGCTGAAACAATAGCGAACAGCCGGCTGAACCCAGAGTCGGCAGAGGAGTTGGCAGAGCTTGCGTAGATCACTGAAAAGTCGGCGAAGAAGAGGCGCACTGAGAAGCATGACAAGCTCTCAGTCTTTCTGCAGAAGTATGCAGAGAGAAAGGCCTTCCTCTTCGAGGACGACCTCCGCGAGCCGGGCGAGACGGAGAACCACGCCAAGCTGCAGAGGCATCTGCGAGAAGCCGAGCAGAGAAAAAGCCGGCTCTTGGAGATGACCAAGCGGTCCATGGCAACGGTGCTGTTGCACCCCCCGTTGCCGCAGGGCACTCTGGTGGTGGCATCGGATGGCTCCTGCAAGAACGAACTGGCGGCAGCTGGTGCGTCGTTCTTCGCTTGGCCCACGTCGACTGCCGAGCGATTGAACGTCGCACAGTTGGCGTACAGAAGTCGGCAGCTGGTGTGGCTCTCCACAAACGCGGATGCCGAGGAGGCCATGCTCTTCCCGACTGAGGAGTCTATGACAAGTTTCGCAGCCTGTGCCCGACTCCTTGGGGGCCATGTTGCTGGGCCCTACTGGTTGCAGCTGGCAAGGAGAGACGGCAAGTTGCATAGCACAGTCTGCTCTCTTAAGAGAGGCCTGGACCAGGACCACCAGCTCTACCTCCACAAGTCGCTTGAGGAGGATGATTCAGGAAGCGGCAAGGGCATGGGCATCTGTGTCAAGGTGCTGCAAGAGGAGTCGGCTCGGCTAACAGACGGCCAACATGTCGGCTGGAAGATCATGGACAGCAAGAAAGCTTTGTGACTCGGCAAGGATAATGATATTATCATGCTGGCCGATGTGCATCCTGATTCCCCTGGATATGCTGTAATCCCTTAACACCCAAGGACCAAGAAGAGCAGCCTGATCATGGTCTCCAAGAAGCACCTGCACAGCAAGTCTGGCGACATCCCCAAACACATGGGCCAACGGTGCACCGCATTCTCTTTGGTGACAACTTGCGACTCAGTATAATTATTGCAGTGCTACTTTGGCTTGCAAGTAACTTTAATGCCGTGTTGCTTGACTCTGATGTTCTGCAAGCCCTGGCGATCTGTGTTCCTGAGGCACCACGTGGCAGTGACTTCATGTGCTGCTGAAAGCCCCGACGAGCTGTGCTCCTGAGGCACCAAGCGGCAGTGAGACGGAGCATTTGTGCATCGGCAAGCTCAGTTAGAGTAGGCAAATTCAATGACTCTGATTAAGCTAAATCATTTTGCACGTTTATCTGGGCTATAGTCCGATGCAAGTGAATCGCTCTGTCGCGCCGGTGCACTCCATTCAGCTTCTTGCATCAAGTGCAAGACAGAAGAAACTGCGAGCCCGCCATTCATGCTTCTGCTTGCATCAAGTGCAAGACAGAACAAACTCGGAGCCCGTTCTCCGCACAAAAGAATAATAAAATAACACTGCCTAGAGATTGAGTCGTTGCAAAGCTGCGGACGGAAGTCATGCATTCAGTTGGCGGCAGACAGTCTCGCCTCACTGTTTCTGCTCTGGCAATCCTGAGGTCGTGCGTCCTCTGGCAACGACCAGGCCTGGCTGTGGCCTCTGGTTTGTACTGCAGTGGAGCACGTCATTGCGCATTATTATTCTTATTGCCACTAGACTATTTTTGCTAAAATTATGTTTCTTTCCAGTTACCGCCCTTGATGTCTATGTGCATCCTGCCTGTCTCGTGGCGAGGGTGACTGTCGCAGTGTTCCCGAGTGTGTCGTTCAGGTCAGTATTGGACACGGTTCGCTATCCGTCATGGTCTTGTCAAGTTACGTCACTCCGCTTGCAACTCACAACCTGCGGTGCTTTCTGCTGCAAGCAAACGCTTCACAGATTCCTGCGTCCCTGCTTGTCTCGGAATCCATAGCACAAGAAATGCATACACTTAGTAAAAAAGATGCCTTGACCTGCTTGTTTTGCTGGCGATTTCAGGTTCCATGTCTCGCAGTGCACAGTCCGTTCAAGCAGTGCTTTGAGTTTTGTTCGATCAGTTAGTGCCAAAGTTTGCACACAGCGATGCCAGTGGTGAAAGCAACTCTTCGGATGTCTTGGTCAAGTCGCTGATAAGTTTTTCAAGGTCCACCAAAACAAATAATATTCCTAACTTGAGTCCCGTGTCATGCTTCAGAGAATCGGACACGAAATATATTTCCGAGCAGGCTGTCAGAGAATTCCACAAGAAAGGGCCGGCAAGTGGTCGTGCGCAGGGAAATCCCATTACTATAATAATCTGAATATTGCAGGATTGGCCTGTCTCACAACATCTGAGTCTGTCGTCTGCAAGAGCCCATGAGATTGTATGGGGGGATGAGCTGAATGAAGGCACATGCCAGAGTTCACACTTGAAACTCGTGACCGTCGCACATTTGATTCTCAAATAAGAGCAGAAATCGAAGCAAGATTCCAAGCCAGGGCTGTCGTTAATAAATAATAACATCTGCTGGCAGCAGCAAATGGTTCCCTCGTTCGCTGGCGCCAGCGAGCTCGCTGGCGCCAGCGAACGCCGGAACACGGGATGCTGTTGCAGCGTTCGCTGGCGCCAGCGAACGCATGGAGCCTGGGACCCTGTTCCAGCGTTCGCTGGCGCCAGCGAGCTCGCTGACCAAGGGACAGAGGTTCAATAAAAGGACTGGGGGCTGGATGCTGGAACTTGCTCTTGCTACAGCGACCCTTCTCCAGCGTTCGCTTGCGCAAGCCAACGCTGGGCAAGGGGTTGTCGGGCAACAAGTGGCTGGATGATGGGACGTGTCCTTTTAAATTGGGGCGATTTAAAAGGACACGTCCCATCATCCAGCCACTTGTTGCCCGACAACCCCTTGCCCAGCGTTGGCTTGCGCAAGCGAACGCTGGAGAAGGGTCGCTGTAGCAAGAGCAAGTTCCAGCATCCAGCCCCCAGTCCTTTTATTGAACCTCTGTCCCTTGGTCAGCGAGCTCGCTGGCGCCAGCGAACGCTGGAACAGGGTCCCAGGCTCCATGCGTTCGCTGGCGCCAGCGAACGCTGGAACCCGGGATGTTGCAGCGTTCGCTGTCGCCAGCGAGCTCGCTGGCGCCGGTGAACGCTGGAACCATTTACTGGCTCCGGGGCACAGGCATGGCACTGTTGCCTGGGATCTTGGGTCGGTTTCTGCTGATAATAGTAAATCATCAGAATGTCGTCCATACATCCGGACCTATGTTTTCCTTACTACCTAGAAATCCCAAACTCGGAAAATTGTCGGGTCTTGCTGAGAACCCCCATGTTTGGAGTTGCTCCTCCTCAAGCCCCGGCTTTTGATGCAAAACCCCGGGTTTGTGAAATGTTGATCTCTAGAAACCCCGGGTTTACCGGTGACCAGCCGGGGATTTACCTGTGCCCAACCCATGGTTCACCCGTGACCTGGTCATGGGTTACGCAACCCGGGCTTCATGCCAAAACTCGGGGTTTCGAGCCTCCGCCTGCTTTTTTTTGCGGGTTTGGGTTCCCTAGGTATGGGTTGATTGAACACCAAACATGACACACACAGCAATGACCATTTGCTTTTCAAGCGGGTACGTGCTGCCTACCTATTTCCAGCGGTTGACATTCCAAACATATATGGTTGATGTGTTCAGAAGTTTGCTTGCTGCCTGAATGATGTGGTCTGTGTCTTGCATCATGCTAATATCTTTAAATACTCTTCTAAAGTTTGCTGCAGGACGAGATGCCGGCTGCTCCTGGAGGCCACTGTTGTTGCAATCGATCTTTGGAAATCGTCAGAGTCCTGTGCCGAGACCTTCTTTGCTGCAGTCGGCCCAAGAGACGCTTTGGACTTTTTAATCCTGGCAATGAAGCGCAAGGCGCCGCCTCCTATGCCTCCTGCTGGTGGTGACCAGAAAAAGGCAGCACTGGAGGTAGGCCCACTCCAGAAGCCGGCCAAAGACATCCTCAATGTCAAGAAGTCAGTGCCGCAGGCAGCGCCGCTCGAGACGCCGCCCAAAGACATCCTCAATGTCAAGAAGCCAGTGCCGCAGGCAGCGCCGCTCGAGACGCCGTCCAAAGACCTCCTCAATGTCAAGAAGCCAGTGCCGCAGGCAGCGCCGCTCGAGACGCCGTCCAAAGACATCCTCAAGAAGTCGGAGGCAGAGGCGCTCAAGAAGCCGTCCAATGACATCCTCAAGAAGTCGGAGGCAGAGGCGCTCAAGAAGCCGTCCAATGACATCATCAAGAAGTCGGAGGCAGAGGCGCTCAAGAAGCCGTCCAATGACATCCCGGTCCCCAAGAGGTCAGAGCCGGACGCAGCAACCACCGAGAAGCCGGCGTCGAAGGCCCACAAGTCAGGGCCGGCATCTGGCACTGAGAAGCCGGCGTCAAAAGACGAGCCGGACACAGACCCGCTCGCCGACATGCCATCGTTGAAAGAGTCAGGGCCAACCGCAGGACCAGCCGCCGACAAGCCGGACTTGAAAGACATCCTCACAGGCACTGACCTAGACCTTGAGGAAGCAGTCAAGCTGGTCAGCATGGACATGCGGAACATCTACGTGGAGCTGAAGGTGTCGGGTCTAATTGTGTTATTAATTAACCAGAGCAGCAGGTTTAAAGCTTTTAATCTTTCAGGTTGCATGCAACATGCCAATGTCAGGAATGCTGTGCCAAAGGGCCAATGAGCTTCGGCGGGTGCTCGCCGTATTGTCTGCAGGACTACAGGAACTGCATGCAAGCCCACGCCTGCTACGAGTGCTTGGTGACGTTTGATGCCATTGCTCTGCATGCCTATGCTCACCGTACTTTGGCCCCGAACTTGGGCACCTTGGCTGGCCTTAACTTCAGGGAGTCTTGGCCTCCTCAGAAGTTTTGTGGGATGTTGCTGCACCATTGACAATTAACCATGACAATCCTCAAGGTGCAGTGCAGTTGCTTCAACAGCAGCACTGGCCCGTGGATATGACGAATGAGCATTGGCGTGGGTGGCAGGAGATCATCGTTGTCCGGTCCACCTCGAGGACGGACCCCCCTGAACACGGCCACTACCAGGTGGTCAACGGTGATGCCCTGCGCTCCTTGCTTGGGGGAATTTCATTCTTTGCTGTTTTAAATGACTCAATAGGTTTTTTGTACTGTTAAATCGAGCCTAGGCTTGGCCTTTGTGCATGGATGGGCCCAGGCAAAGGAGGCGGAAAAGCCGACGGATGCGTTTCAGACGGCAGCTCGTTGCGTGAAGGTTCGCTTCGAGCTCTTGATCTTGGATGAGACGTTCGAGATGAAGAAGTGGGAGCTGAATGAAAAGACGAACCTGGCGGCCGAGACTCAGATTTTGCAAGGGCTCAAAAGGGCACTCGCGGTGCAGGGCGTGGCGGATATGCTCCAGCGGGAGGGTCAGCCAAATGGCCCCAAAGATTTGGAAAAATGGTTCAAGACGGCAAAAGTGACGACAGCGGATATGAGCGCACGTGTCGTCTCGACGATGATGAAGGTTGCGACGAGGTTCAAGTCGGCTGTCGAGTGTCGGCTCATTCTGACGGAGTTAGATTCGGCTTTTGGAAGCAAGCACGCCTTCCAGCACTCGAACAGCTTAGACGTCGCATGTCAGAAAACCGGCGTGAAAAACAACGCCAAGTTGGCCGCCAGCCTGCTTCTCTGGTGCTTGAGTCTATGCAGGGACGAAATGATGCGGGGAGATATGCCACCAGAAATAGGGCATATCGGCGTGAAGGCGGCATTCACACGCTACCTTCTCAAGAAGCGTTTGGTGGCGTACCTCGTGCGCAAGTTCACCTGGAAAAAGGTTGATGCCATCGAGGAGAAGTTGGCATTGCCAGTCGGCTACCAATGCTTTGAGGTCCTGAACACACTCTTCAGCAACTACGAGGCGTGGCGACAGAGCGGCTTGAGCCCGGGCAGTGAGGTGAGCATGGCCTGGCTACACAACATGCCTCCTCACATGGTGCGGGTCATCCACTTCTGCTCCCACCTCCTGCGGGGCGGAGGAGACTTGGAAAGCGTGCTTGCCAACATCGTCGAGACGTCGCCGCTAGTGTCGCCGGAGGCAATAACTGAAAGTTCGAAAATAAGCATAACATACATGACCGCTAGCTAGCTTAGCTTCTGCAGCATTCTTCTGTAAATGTTGAGGCCGCCTTGTTGCAGATGCAGAAGTTTCTCGACGTTGATGCCACCATCAAGGAGCATGATGCCTGGATGGAGAAGATGTTGGCGCCGGCCCCGCCGCCTGAGCCGGCACTTCCCACACCCACTCCCGAGAAGGATCCGGTCCAGGTCCACACCAATGCTGCCGAGAGCCAGGGTGACAATGCTGGCTTGATTGAGGACGAGCAGGCGAGACCGGCCGCAGCGCGTAGGAATATAATACTACCGTGGCTTGAGATCTCAGCTCGTGGACTTGCCTTCTTGCACACCAGGCCCACCCAGCAGATGACGATGAGGAGATGCAGCCGGCAACATGTCTTTAATAATGACTGACTTGACTCCTGCTGCTTCAAATCCCGCGAAAATTTACTCGTCTCAGGCAGACCCTGTTGTGGATCAAGTGGAGGCGACCAGAACTTCATACTTCCCTTCCTTGGCCCTGTCGTCCGCTATCGTCGATATGTTGAAGAAGAACCCGGACGACATGCAGTTCCAGCACATGGTCGAGGAGGCAATCATCCGCTGCTCGCCTGCAGCTTTATTACCGTGAGGCTCCGATAGTGTACTTTGCGCAACGCCGGAGCAGCGTACATCATTATGATGTATTTTGTTTCCACTGATGTTTTATAGTTCCAACATCTCCAACACGGAGATTTGACTATATCTATGCGTTTGAGTCGGGACGAAAAAACAGAAAGAACCCCATAAAACCCCACTTTCGGCTCAAACTTGTCATTATAACCAGCGCCTCGAGAGAGAAAAAAGAAGAAGACTATATATATATATACACATGCATACATACAGCATAGATATATATATATATATGTAGATATTATACACATGCACACTCTCGTACACACTCTCAGTTTTCGCTCGCTTGAACTTGCAAGCCTCCCAACATCACAGCCCTCATGTCCTTTTTGCAAGATTTCAGACGATCGAGTCGAAGCACTGCTGGCGGCTCTGCTGTCCGAGAGCAGAAATCTTCCATGGCAGCTTCGAGAGCATGCTGCGACAGACCTTCTCGAAGCGACAATTTCAATTCTCATGTTGTAGCGCTTGCATCTTGAGGGATGCGACGGAGCGAACAATAGAGTTTTCTTGAAGCAGAGCTCTGAATGCATGCCATGAGCTCCCTTTCGCGGAAGAAGCATGGATCAGCAGTCAGCAGTTCGAGGCGGGCTCCCGCGGTCTCGCTAGAACATTTGCCTGCAGACTTGGTGAACCGGCAGGCCCATGATGATTTGATGCACGTGCAGCTGTTCATGAACATCGCTTGGGAGGCTCACGGAACTGCACAGTTGCACGAAGGGTGTTTGTGTGAGAGAAGCGTCAAGACCTGCAGTGCCCCATGCCGCAGACGGCACGGCCCGAAGAGTGAAAGACGGACATGGCACGCAGGCTCACTCCAGGGTCAGGCAGGCTCATGGCACTCGCGAGGGTCAGCTTCACAAAGCTCTCTCGGGGCGTTAGGCTGCACTGCATGGGCAATCATAGGCACAGCACAGCACTAGCTCCAAGTGCAGGGCCCTAGGGTCATGGCCGATGCTGCTGCGGCCATGGCACTCGTCCCAGCTGACGCCGCGGCCGACGCCGCGGCACCGCCTGAATGGCGGTCGGTCCGCGACTTCGCTGCAATGATTTGTGGAGCATGCACCTCTTCTGTGCACCGATCTTTGCATGGGCTTCATGCGTGGTAGTTATAGTCATGCGACGTGCAGGCGCTGGCAAAGTGAAGTGGACCTACGAGAAGGTGCAGGGCATTGCAGCGGCCATGGAGCAGCACCTGCCTGTGGCAGTCAAGGACTTGATAGAAGGCCCCAATTGGAGGGGCGGTGCCATCGTCCGACTGGAGTCGGACACTGCGCGACCGACGGCGCGTGAGGTGTCCCGCCACTACTTCCTCCTGAAGCCTTGGGTTCAAGCCCTTCCAACCACGGTGCCGAGCGCTTATATGGTTACCGACACCCTGCTTCTGCTGAACGAGTTGCTCGGGAAGAAGCTCTTCCCCGTCCAGCCGAATGAGTCGTTGATCAACAAGGCGGCCGCGGAGGCCGTGAAGATCAAGAAGCTCCTTCAATCTTTGAGGTACCTTTTTCGATCGAGCGGCTCAATTGCAGATCGGTTCCATTTGGCAATTAGCAAAAGCACCGGATCCCAGGTAAGAACAGCCGCTTCACGAGAATCGCGGATTTGAAGCACGACCTTCGCCCGAAGGATCCGAAGTCGCCTGTTGTCCTTTGAGAGGGTTTGGCATGCATTGCTTTCTAGTTTGCCCTGCTTTTCGCTTGGAGGAGAGGACACCTGCGAAGACGGAGACGGAGAAGAAGGAAGCGGAGAAGGCGATCGAGGACGACTACCTCGCCTCGATTGCCACGGAGGCCGCTCCGATTGAGGATGGTGCTGTTGCTGGGCTTCGCTAGTGTAATGTTGCACGATCTGAGGATGAGCCCCTGCTTTCGCAAGCGTCGACACGACAGCTGGGAGATCGGTCGGAAGACGATGAGGACAGGTTGGAAATACGTTCATTTTTTCTCCCATCATGCAACCCTATGACTTGCAGGATTTCTCCGACCGGGACTCCATGTCGCTGCTCGCGGAGCTTAGCTCCGAGGAGGAGTGGAGCGACAACGATATGGACATGAAGCTCGATGAACTTGCGTGCGGGCTGCTCTTTCCGCTCGAGTGCCTCGATCCAGAGGCAACGGTGTCGTATTGTGGGGCGTCGGACATACCGACGCCGCCATCTTCGCCGAAGAGCGAGGACGAGGACGAGGCATTGTGATAGTGCATGTTGGAGTGAGCGAGTGTGCATTGCATGCATGAGGATGACACGAAGATGATTGCCAGTGGCAAGAGGCTGCCAAAGGACTGCCTCTATAAGATTGCAACCTGACATGTGTTCGTGTGATGTGCATGCATTATAGGATCCGACGGAATCCTGGTTGTGTCGGCCCCGTCCAAATGTGGATCTAGATGAACCTATCTTCGAACCGTGGCCGGTGGTTATCGATGATGATGATGACGATGTCAAGGATTGAACGTGCAGCGACATGTCTTGTGATGCTTGGATTTTAATTATGGCACCTGTCTCTTAAAGGAGCCGGAGCCTCCAAGCGTGCCGACATCATCTGCGGAGCAGGACGTTAATGTGTGCATGTTGCAGTCATGATCAACAAGTGTTTGCATGTTCCAGGATGAAGAAACCGACCTCGAAAAGGCCGAGAAGATCATGGATGCCGTGAGCTCGAGCTCCGAGAAGCCCGAGGATTTCGTGATGATCATGATTCATTCAAACAATTACTTTGTAGTCCCGTCATGTTGCAGGAGTCAAAGTGTGACCGGACGATGGGCAAGAGGAACAAGAAGCTTTCCCGAAAGAAGGCCAAATTGATTTAGAGGTTCCATAGTTGTTTCATTGCATCTTGTTGCGGGTGTACAAGGGCCAGCCGAAGATGATCGGCCCATCCGTGGCAGAGGACGCAGTAACTATGGTTCACGCAGAAGAGTTGCTTCTCGTTACGTGTTTTGGCAGGACAGCGACATCGACGTGCCGAAGGGCCCGGATTCGGCATCGGAGAAGGACGAGTGTAAGGTTGAGACGAAGAGTTATTCATAGTTGTGGGTTTTTGCAGGATGCGCAAAGCGACTCCGACATCCACAGCGATGTTGAGGGCCCCGGGACATCGTCCAAGGAGGAGGAGTGTAAAGTTCATGCACACGCAAGATTTTTTGTGGGTGCCTTGAATACTTTCGCAGGATCCGGGAAGCGACAGCAACGTGGAGTCGAAGAAGCTGGGCCGCCGCGGCCCACGTCTGAAGGACGAGTATTGAGTAAATCTCATTGGGAAAAGCTGTGTGCTATTGCGTGTTTGGCAGGATTTCGCAACTGACACCGACTGGGCCCGGGCATTTGTGGAGTCACAGAACTCACGATCGGAGAAGGACGGGTGTGGTTTATAATCTACATATAGAGTTGTTTGTATGTACGTGTTTGTCAGGATGGACCAAGCGACAGCGACATGGAGCCGAAGGGGCCGCTGGGTTCGGCATCCGAGAAGGACGGATATGAATCAGCTAGTATTATTTCTAATTGTGTGTTCTGGCAGGAAGGACGAAGCGCCAGCGATATCGAGCCGAAGGGGCCACTGGACTCGGCATCGGAGGAGGACGGATATGAATCAGCTAGTGTTACTTCTATTTGTGTGTTCTTGCAGGATGGACCAAGCGCCAGCGACATCGAGCAGAAGGGGCCACTGGACTCGGCATCGGAGAAGGACGGTTATGATACAGCTATATAGTATTATCTCTATTTTGTGTATTCTTGCAGGATGGACGAAGCAGCAGCGACATCGAGCAGAAGGGGCCACTGGACTCGGCATCGGAGAAGGACGGTTATGATACAGCTATATAGTATTGTTTCTATTTTGTGTATTCTTGCAGGATGGACGAAGCAACAGCGACATCGAGCCGAACGGGCCACTGGAGACGGCATCGAAGAAGGACGGATATGATTCAGCTATATAGTGTTATTTCTAATGTTCTTGTAGGATGGACGAAGCAAAAGCAACATCGAGCCGAAGAAGAAGTGCCCACGGCGGGAGAAGGACGGATGTGAATCAGCTCTATAGTGGTATTTCTAGTCGTATGTTTTTTGCAGGATGGACCAAGCAAGAGCGACATCGAGCAGAAGAGGAAGGGCCCACGACGGGAGAAGGACGGATGTGAATCAGCTCTATAGTGGTATTTCTAGTTGTATGTTTTTTGCAGGATGGACCAGGCAAGAGCGACATCGAGCAGAAGAAGAAGGGCCCACTGGACTCGCCATCGGACCAGGATTCGTATGCTTTTTCCATGTTGCTAACCTATAAACTCCATCCCGTCCCGCCAGGATCTGCCAAGCGACTTCGACAGCCCCACGAATCCCGAGTGGCTCCCCGAGACTATGATGGACGCAGAGGCAGCTAATCTATCAGTGTCGTTGAGGTTTTGGAACATGTCCTTCAATTGATTTGATCGAAGGGCAGCGAGGATGATCCCATGGCAGAGCCGTTCATGTCCAGCAGCGATGAGGAGTCTCAGGGCAGTTGCATAAAAGATAGTATTGAGAAACCCGTTGCATGGATTCCTACTACATTAGTCTATTCATTCGCGACTGGGGCAGGACCCTGCCCGGAACAACAAGAAGCGGCCAAACCTCATGATGGTGAAGGCGGAGGAGCACAGCGAGGACGACGAGGCATGCAGCACGCCCACGTCGATTGCGGAGCTCATGGGATTGAACAAAGATATGATGCATGCTGATGTCGAGCCAGTTGGAGAGCAGGGATATCGAAGCATGCAGGCCCGCAAGGCGGCCGCGAAGGCCGAGGCCGCGAAGCCCGTGAAGGCCAAGGCGAAGGTGCTCAGAAAGAAGGGCAGCTTCAGACGCGTGCTCAAGCGTCGCAAGAAGAAAGCCGCCAAGAAGGCGGCCGAGGAGCCCACGGACCGTACCGATGTCATGTTTCACAAGTACAACCTCAAGGACCTGGCCGTGCCCAAAGACGCCTT